ATCTGCAGCTACTCAAGAATTTCCCAGCATTTTATGGATCCCGAAGGTTCATTACCATGTTCACAAGAGCCCTCCACTGGTCCCTATCCTGAACCAGATCATTACATACCATCCCATCTCACCCTATATACCCTATATCTCTAATATCCATTTTAATGTTGTCCACCCACCTACGCCTTGGTCTTCCCAGTAGTCTCTTATGCATAGATTAAATATGAAAATAAATGGAGGATAAGAAGAAAGCAGTCTTCTGGGATTTGGCACCGTGTATATATGGTGTTAACCGACGTTTCGGAGGAACGTATCGCCTCCATCTTCAGGGTAGATGAAAAATATAAGAAATCTGCAAGCGAAGAGACCGTGAGAACCGGTAAAAGCAGACAGTAAAAACGTAGCCAAGTGGTCATACCGCTCGGTCAGCACCACGTAGCAGCAAAGACTAATGTAGCAACTCTGACGGGCAGCCAGGTCCAGTTTACGGTGTCGTCAAGTCATAGCAAAAGCAAAACAACTGTCCCGTCGGCAGGGTAAATTGATGGTGGCCCTCGCCAGTATAGTCATTCTTGGTTCATAGTCCCGCGAGACTCACGGCCATATTTTATCCCTCTCACGACTGTAATGAAATATATGTGGTGTGTTCAAAAAGCCCTCGAAAGTTCTCTATAAATCGCCAGTACATCGGACACATGGCCTTGCAACCTGACCGTTAGTTACGCGTGCCATTTTGTTTCAAGTAGCTCGGACGTTCTGAATAATTTTCATAACCGGTTTTCTGATCGAGTGTTCTGTTGTCCTGTCGAGTTTGGTATGGAGCAGGTAAATGAAAAGGAAAGAATATGTAATAAATTCCAATTAAAAGTATGGAAAACAGTTGCAGCAACCCACATGTTGCGTGAAGCTTATGGTGATGATGCCTAATTCGTCTGTCCCCAAGAAAGCACAACAGTTGCGCTCGCGAATGAAAGCAATGCTGCTTGTGTTCTTTTTCAGTCACCGAGGCATTGTGCATTACGAATTCATCAGACAATTGATCAAGATATTCATCTGGAGGCTCTGACACGTCTGCGGGATGCGTGGTCTGTAGCCCGCAAGCGAACTAACCGACAGAGCGACCGCCGCTTGTCGGCGAAGTTAGTGCCAACTTTTGCGGATAGAGGGTGTCGCGTGGTCAGCACAACGGATCCCCACGGCCTTTAAATTCGGTTTTCTAGACCGGAGCCGCCATTTCCTTGAAATACCTACTCAGTTATTCTCACGAGGATGAATGGACCCCGTTCCAGATCCACTATTTCTCAGAAAATCTGGTAGCGCCGGGAATCGAACCCGAGACCTCTGGATCTGTAGCCAGGAACTCTGACCACTAGACCACATAGTTTATAACGCATCGATAAGTGGATTGGGCTCCACAACCGAGGCAGAATTTTTCTCTTCTTCTCAGACTTAACTCAACCTCACATCCACTGAGTGCCGGGTGGGGGGGTTGCTTTCCAGGGAGCACAGCATATAGCTGGCTCGTTAACCGAACCAAGTGCCAGTGCGGCATGACAAAGAACTCACAGAAGGATCAGATGTTTCGAATAATTCTACCATGCGCGAATCTTTATTATTAGTTATTTTACTGTTTTGGCAGGCAAGTTAAAATAACACGCCTGTGTGCTCCAGTCCATGTTCAAATAGACCTGCAAGCACTACAAGTTGTCAGTCGTCACTCTGTGAGTATGATTCCCTGTTATTAGCATACTGCATACCAATATTCGCTCTCTCGTATCGAACACCAACCGGCAAACCGGTTTTGTCACATCAAATGAAATATGTTTTTGCAGTATTAAATCAAGTGGAACTGTTAGACAAGCTTCCTTTGAAATCCTTTGAAAATTTCGTCAAGCAAGGTTGGGCGTACGGTCTACAAAATTATGATCGGACTCCGGGACACGGTGTTTAAAATGTAGTTCCAATAACGGAAAGAAAAACGTTGTTATGAATCTGTCGCGCAGTACTGCATATGTGTCTACCAGCCTATCTGCTAGGTGAAGTCCTATTAATCAGCGGAGGTCGCAGTTTTGGAAGCGCTGGAAACCTGATCGAGTTCATTCTAATAATCTTATATACCTCCCAGGGATAATGGGGACCGCCTATACCTACATACCTACCTACCACTCGGCGCTACAGCCCTGGGTGAGCCTTGGCCTCCCCTACGACCAGTCTCCGCTGCTCTCTATTCCTCATCTTCCCTATCCATGCTTTCACATTTATCTTCTTCAGGCCGTTCTCAACATCGTCTGGCCATCTCCTCCTAGGTCTTCCTTTTCTTCTTTTGGAGTAGCCTTCCTTTGCATCTTTCCGGGTAACAGCATTGTGCGTGCATTCCAACTTGCCATCACAATATCATTGTTCCCTGGCCTTTGCTACAAGACGGAAGGTCGCGGGTTCAAGTCCCGATGAGATCATTGGATTTTTTCTATTGGCCTAATCCTTCCAGCCGCACTATGACCCTGGGGTCGACTCAGCCTCTAACATAAATGAGTACCAGGAATATTCTTGGGGGTAAAGGGCGGCCTGCGCGTAGGGCTGACAACCTTACCGCCATCTACTCGTATTAGCCGATGAGGATAACCGAGGAGCTGTTTGAAGGAAATAGTGGCTCCGGTCTAGAAAACCGAAATTATCGGCAGTGGAGATTCGTTCCGCTGATCACGCGACACCCTCTATCCGCAAAAGTTGGCACTAACTTCGCCGACAAGCGGCGGTCCCTCGATCGGTACAACTCGCTTGCGAACTAGAACCACGGAGTTTGTTTGTTTGTTATTAGTGACTAATAACGCTGGTTCTTGATTGGATGACCGGATTTATTTGCTCCTTCTATACACCGCCAGTAATGACACGTAATAATAGGGCTGTCGCTGTTTCTGCACTTTATAATTCACTGTTACACACACACTAGTCGTCTCCTGGAAACGAAATTGGGCTACAATTTTCGAAGACTCTTCCTTTACAACTTCTTGCTTTTATTTGGTTTTTGAATATATGCTGCATTTGAGATCATAATTAGTATTACTTCTTATATTAGACATATTAAGCTGTCTGAACGCAACGAAGTACTAATGGTTCACGAGTCTTTAAAAAAAATGCATCGAAAGATGGCGCCTTTACGTTACAGCTGACACTTTTCAATTTATACTTTTAATATACAACTAATTAAATATATTAGATGGTCGCCTATAATTGCAACTATGAAATGTGATCTTATAAAGAACGAGAACTGAAAATATTTACACATTTATTTATGTATAGTTTGCTTAGCCAATTGGCATACATTGACGAGTTTCAGACATTCGCCTAATGGGTTATGTCAGGTAATTTATCGGTGGTTACGTCACAGAGTGCAATTTGAAACAATTCGTTTACAAAACACATGCAGGAAATCTCCACCAGTCGTTAACTTACGGGCATTTTCTTTGAACTTTCTCAATTAATATCATACAAGGATTTCGAGCACTGTAAACAGAATGTCAATGGGTTAGTGACACTGTCAGTAGCTCAGAATATATAATATCGACCGAAGCTACTGATCGGCAGTAATTTAAGTTCAATATAACGTAAATGCAAAGCTTCTAAATACTTGAAGAAAGTCGTCTTCTGGGATCTGGCGCCGCGTATTCTTGGTTTTAACCGACGTTTAGGGGGAATATATCGCCTACATCTTCAGGGTAGTTGAGTTGCGTGCGAATACAGATAGCTGTAGCTGCAGCTGTATTCGCACGCAACTCAACTACCCTGAAGACGGAGGCGATATGTTCCCCGAAACGTCGGTTAAAACCAAGAATACACGGCGCCAGATCCCAGAAGACGACTTTCTTCATAGTCATCGCCGTGAAAACCTCAAAACTTACTTCTAAAAACTTGGTTACAAACCGACCAGAATGGAAAAGCATTCTCCGCTTCCCTTCAACCTTCCTGATCCGTAAACCCAGCTCAGAGAAATTGACTGTAGCTACTTGACAGTATTTTCAGAGTGCATTTACAGCTTGTCATCTGCCGCCGAGCCCATAGCACAATTCAGGTTTTACCATTAGAGCCAACAAACATAACTTCACATCTGTGATGGTTTTCTTATTTCCTGGGAAAATGTAATTCTTTTCAACGTCAACAGTACAACGTCGTACATATGATTACAATAAATAGTTAATTTCTCCGCACGAACAAATAAAGCATAAATATCCCGGCAACGACTGAAAAGATATTACCTACTATTAAGGCTCCGTAATGGACTCGATCCTGAGCCAGTTCCACCTGCCTCCCAGTCCTCATTATCCATCTCCCCGCTATCCGGCTTGTCACTCTTTTATATGTTTTCAAAATGATCGTTTACGAAGAGATTTCTTCATACATACTCTGCATGCATTCCTTGTCTTCCCAACCTAGCTACATGCACAGCCCATCATAGCCTTCTAGAGTCCACTATTCTAATGATTTTGGATTACACCAATGTATAGCGGCAGAGGCTTCACGCATTCTTAACCTCGGCATTAGACGGAGGTTAGTGGTCAGCTTCATGCCCCAGCCGCTTTATCCCCTTAAACAAAGGCCCCGGTACCTACTGGAGAGGAGGCTAGATGGGCCCCAGAACCGGTCTGAAAGCTGTGGAGAAAATAAAAAACTCTTAACCCTTCCGGGAGTCGAACCCCGATTCCTTGGCCGTCCATCTCGTAGCCTGTCGCTGTACCGACTCCAGCTATTCTAGCTGACCTATATACTGTAAATCACGGAATTCGGTGCTAAGCGCATCGGCGGAAAACATATTGCAAATAGTACCCTCCCTGAAGAAGACATACCTTGGACTGTCACTCTCAATACGTTCCACCTGACCCCCGGTAATGTTTGTTGAGCAAACAGCAGCGCATGGAGTGACGACACCAACAACAGTAACTTATCAGCTTTCCCACGGTCCCGCAGACTCCCCGGATGACCTTGCTAGGACTGCAATACTTTTTCTTACTTACCGAAATAGTAGTTTCAGGAAACAGCCAAATCCTCTGCAAGTCGCAACTTCGCCGGTATATGTGACCGTCATCTTGATGTATATTGTTTTATCAACAACTAAAAAGACAGTACCTTGTTTCCTTTACAACAAAGTTACACGAGCTTCAAAATTTTTAAGCAGGAAAGGCGAAACTCAACCTCGTGTCGTAGTGTACTCTATTTCCTTGTAATGTCTTTGCAGTTCCTGCGTGATGTCACAATAGTTCCCGAATGTCAAGCATGCCCGCAAATATTGGCACGTGCAGAATGCGATGACACACGTGCGCGTAATATCTCTGTTCTTGGCTTCGTCATTTGCTTAAGAACTGAGTGGTATTTAATCTCTAAATGTCTTTCCATAAACAAAGGGCGTTAACAATTTAGTAATCTAATTTTAACAACGTAACACGTTGAATTGGGGAACAAACACCTGACATTAGTCATTTAACAACGCTGTCAGTAACGAGACTACATAGTGTCGGAACATTGCTACTGTAGTTCTAATTCAAAACACGCAAACATCTCGGAACAATTAAATATCATAACCTGTCAGGTACTGTTTCCTTGGACATGCCAATTCAATTTCTTGTGAAAGAGTAAGTTACTTTGAAACTAACATATCACACACATTAATTTAATGAAGCACCGTCACTTTTTCTCAGACACGGCTGGCCCGCTTTTATTCCGCACACCGATCGATGTCTCGCCGCCTACCGCGGAAGCTATGCGGTACTTAGAAAATAAACACTACCAAATCACCGAAAAGACTTTACTTTCATTTTGAAAGTTCTTTTGCATGGCATAAAATAACATAAACAATAACACACATCGACGTAGCCTGTCATTCAAATTGTATAGAAACGTACACCATCACTTTCAACCTCGTTGCCACGAATATTAACAAGAGAATTTAACATTTATTACGAATTTCGACGGTTAGGCCACGGGCAAACAAAGAACGTTCACTAACAGTTACCTCCTACCCGTGACAAGACGTGTACTGACACAACTGATACCACAAGAGCCGGCACAATGCCCATTCAAATTCACAGCCGTTCACAGCCGTGTTTGGGATAGTAGGTCCCCAACATAGAGCTGCCATCTCTGTATAGAAGTGGAAACTACAACGTTCCCCGGAAGCAGCGTGACGTAATGTACACACATAATCAACCTCAGACCGCGTCGCGTTGCATGAATTCATTGCGTTCATTGGCACTGAGCCTGTCGGTGTAATTGATGGTAGTATTTCTTGTGAGGTGTAGCATAGATGCCTGAATGTCCTGCATCCAGGGCATCCTCTGTGTCTTAAGTATTTTCTAATGTATTTTGCATTCTGATTCCTAGCGTTTGTAGCGGAAACGCTATTCGTTGCCTAGGAAATCAACCCTGATCTCAACCATTCCGGCTTTCTGGCGGCACGCCACAATATTTTGATTGAATGACGTGGTGATGACATCAGTACTCGATTGGAAGCACGACTGAGTAGGCTTTGCGTCTTCTGACTCTCCAGTATGGATCGGCGAAACGTCCAGATTACGTGTCCATGGTTTATGCTGACCGTCTTACAGTGTATACATTTTTTTCACCTTATTCTTCACTTCCACACTACATGTTTCAGCACTAATGTGCCATCTTCAGGTGTCTTTATGCACGTTAAACTATTGTACTGCATGCCATAATGTCTTCATTCTAAAATGACTAAAATCTGTATTCATCATATAGGACGATGAATTCTAAATAATAAAACATTTCAGGATTCTTCCTAAGTCGCACTCAAACACGCGAATTACGCCAATCCTCTTTTATGTGAGCATTCTTCCTACATATATTTGTGTATCGTGTTCTGTGTTGTGTTCTGCTCCTGTTACTGCGTGCGTTGTACTGCTGGATCTGTGTGTGTGCGTAACATTGTCCAGATTACATTGATACAAAGTTTGTCGAAGTTACGGTCTTATAAACCTCCAGGCTGCGAAGCCAGAATTCATTACCATAGGTGGTCCTAGGAGTAGGCATTCAGTGAACTTATTGGCCGATGTTATTCTGACGAGGTTGGTTACGTAAGCAGCCAAAATAACAGATACTGGAACAGAGTAAATCTTCGTGATTTCATGAAGTGCCATTACATGATTTATGGGTTTGGGTTTGGTGCGAAATTAGTGCGGAGTAAACAAATTTCGAACGTTGTGCAAGATTAATTCTGTCAACTTCCTTCGATCAATTGATGGATGAAGAAAAATCTTGCGGCATGTTATGTAAAATAATGCAACAGCACACACTGCGAACAATTTTATTGATGAATTATATAAAGTCTTAGGCGAACGAGTCATAAGTCGAGGATTGTGTCTTTCACTATCATTCTGTCATCCTTGCGACTGTATTTGTGAGACATGGCGAATGAGAAAGTTGAAATCCGCGACCTCTGGAGGAACTTAAGGAAGATACTAAACAACTCTGCGGCCTGTAGTCCACAAGCGAACTATACCAACCGAACGACCGCCACTTGTCGGCGAAGTTAGTGCCAACTTTAGCGGATAGAGGGTGTCGCGTGGTCAGCGCAACGGGTCCCCACGGCCATTAATCTCGTTTTTCTAGACCGGAGCAGCTATTTCCTTGAAATAGCTCCTCAGTTATCCTCACGAGGCTGTGTGGACCCCTTTCTAGACCCACTACTTCTCAGAAAATCTGGTAGCGCCGGGAATCGAACTCAGGAGCTCAGGATCTCCGACCACTAGAACACAGAGGCGGTTTCAGGAAGATACTATACATGAAATTTTCCCTATTCCCTCATGTGAGCCATGTTTAGAAGCAGGGACTGTCACTTCGGGACTCCTCTGTAAAATGAAAACAGTACAAATACAGCTGTAAAGAAGGCGGTGAACTATCTGCTACGGTGGCGGTTACATGCGAGAAGTGTCGTGTTATCTGCGTGACCCAGTACAAAGATAAACTGTACAAACTGCATAAATCTTGTTGGCGTTATTCCCAGACATTTGTTCATAAGGAAAATGAATGAAATGATATACGTAATGACTTACATGTCACAATATGACGCTCGTACAGAGCGCTATGTGTGCGCTGAATGATGATAATGATGTTTAGGAGCTGACAGCAGCAAATATTGGTTTCAAGTTTATCGTCGATATGTGGATTTGTGATTTAATACGTTTAATAAATAAGATAGAGAGATATGATTGCACAAACGGAACATCACAATAAATTATTATAGCTGTGCCATTGTTCTCATACAACTGACAATTGAGTAACACCATTGTGTTCGTAAACGTAACACCTGGCATCTAAATGATACCAGACATTTCGTGTGGTCAGGTGTTCCAGGACTACAGACTGGGTCCTCTCCCCTTTCTCGATCACAGGCCATTTACAACATACAGTTGAAGAATCTGAAGGGAAAACGCCGCTTGAGTGACCTAAGAATAGATGATAGGATAAAAAAATAAAAAGTAAAGCTATCCCTGTAACAGGCCATGGAGGCCCACAGGGTTGTGAGACGTTGACGCATCATGCCCTAGAAATTTGAGCGGTGTAAAATCTCTGTGCTGATATGAAATTTGCGAGTCATTCTAGCAGAAGAGGAAGTATTTCGATGTATTTAATAATTTACGCTCCTCTTCCTCTGGCACTGACATCGTGTCAAGGGTCAGCAAGATATACGAGTAGAGGTAGTTGCCCTTTCGTCCAAAAGATATCGCATGAGGTTGATCCCGTTCACGTACTATAAGAATCTGCGTGCATATCGCACAAGCAGACATGTTACGAAACGCGGATTTAACTGAGACGTTTCAAACGTGCTGTGTCATCGAATAGAGCACACGCAATTTAAGTTGTGTGGATGAGATCCATGATGAAATAGACTCTAGAAATGCTCGTCATCATTCATTTATACAAAACGTGACAGCCTACGGAGAAATAATAATTATACCACTTGTTCAGAAAATGTGTGTATAGCATTGTTCTACTTTGAGGAAAGATTATAAATATGGTTGTTTGCAAATATAGTGCTCAGTATGAGACTTGCATCCGAGAAGAACAATAAAAATAAGATCCGAGGAGTTAGTGTAGCAGTAATGTCCCAGACTCGTATTAAAAAGTTTCTTGGCTCCAATCTCTACCAGGGCACCAGTCACCCTAAAGGAGCTTCGTGCTTTTTCCTTAGTGGCGTGAGTCAACTTGGTACTGCTGCCAGTTCTGGCCTATTGTACCAGCACCGGATGATAGGTGAGGGTGACTGTGGAGCAATTGATGGGATAAAGATTGGCAGGGGAAACCCAAGTTCTTGGAGAAAACCTGCCCTAGTACCACTTTGTGCACCACAAATCCCACATGACCAGACCAGGGCTCGAACCCGGGCCGCCGCGTTGGGAAGCCAGCGACTAACCGCTTGAGCTATGGCGCGGTCTGAGTTTCGTCGTTTACTTCGGTCCTTAATGCAACTACCGGCAGAGTATCTTGATCAGGCAACGACCGCGCCCTTCCGAATTAATCGTTCTACTGTGAACTTACCGTTCGGCGTTGTATAGCCCATTTAGGAGTCCAAACAGCGGATAGTCTCAAGTGGTCTCAAGGGCCAAATGAGGACTCCACAGAGGTTTTCGATTTTCCCCGATGTTAATTGTGCTGTTGTGTTTGAAGAATGAATTACGTGTATCTTTTTATTGGATCTTTGTCTCGATGTGCATGTCGCAGTTTCTGTTGCATCTGAACATGACAGTAACTTATTTTGCAGGAAATCAACCAGCACGCACCCGTCGGCATGACAGACAACTGTCCCCATAATTTTGCCAGCCGAGACTATAAATCTGGCCTTCTTCTCTTAGATATGCATCGTGATGACACTCCATGTTCCGTCGTTGTGTTTCGGGGTCAAAACAGTGAAGATATCTGTCATCACAATTCACAATTTTAGTAAGAAGTCAGTGCTCTCGGGAACATTCCGTGGAAGCATTGGGAATGACAAATCCATGCGTGTCGTTTTGTGCTCTGCCGTCAGCAGTCGGAAAACCAACGGCGACAAATTTTCTGATATCCCAAAGCCTTTATTGTCTCCTGCACGACCTTGCATCCTATGCCAAGCTGCGCTGTGATTCCCCTTTACTGTGCTGAGCGCATCCGCTCCTCTGCCCATTGCGCTCGGTGGCGGCGGTTCTTGGTCGGCCGCTGCAAGGCAGATTGGCAACGTCACTTTTACCACCTTTGAAGAGCTTCACCGAAAGTCTCATACGGATGGCACCGATGCCACACACATACAAAAGTGCCAAAATCGATAAAAAATATTTGCAGCAGATTTGTTTTCCTCTATGAGAAATTAAATCACAGGACGCGTGCGAAAGGATACATCATTCACAGCGATTTATCGCAGTGGATTATGGGTAACTACTGATGAGCATGCGCTGAACCTGAATGTCAGATTTACAGAAGACAGTTACAACTACCGGCCGTAAAACCTTTGGTATCGTTATGTCGATAAAACGTTGATCATCATACATGTTTGGTATGTCACGCTACAATATATTGAGTATCATAGTTACTTTGTGAAAGGTGCCTACAAGAAGACGAATCAGCCACACACATCTTATGTGATTGTGAGGCCATAGCTTACTTAAGATGTCACCTGGGTCAGTTCTTCATGGAACCAAGTGACTTTCATGACGTCCCCATAAATAATGTTCTACATTTCATTCGAAGTGTAGGATTAATAAAGGGTTAATCCAAAGGGGAAGCACAATAGATCATTGAAGGTCGCAGTGCGGGGGCCGGATTTTATGGCTCACCCCTCATACTCATGATAATTACTTTCGGTGCGGCTCTCTGTTTAAGTCATTATGTAATGGCGGAGCCATGCCTCGGACTGAGATGTTGGGGAAGTGATGGTGAGGAGAAAAATCTGAACTTCGCCACGTGAAATGGAAATTCGGTTTTTCGACCACTAGGAACTCGCGGTACTTTCCTCAGTTGGTAGAGGGCAATGCGTAGCTTGATTTAAAACAAACGACGACCGCTTCATTCGAAATCTTTTCCAATTTACATGCCATTCAGAACTAGTATCACAATTGAAGAAAGCAGTCTTCTGGGATTTGGCACCGTGTATATGTGGTGTTAACNATCATAATTGCTACGCTATGTAACTAAAGCAATTGAGACTCGTCTGTACGAGGCCTAATGATCTACCAGCGAACCCCGGTCGCTGAGTCGGTACGAAATCATTTTTGTGATTGAGTATGACGCTTAGGCTGCATTATCCTCTCGATGTAGTAGGTTCATATCTCGGCCCGGAACATCACGGCATGAGAACCAGAACGAGTTGTGCCACTCTTACACCCACGCCCGTCATATCTCGAGGCGATATAAACTCCGACACAACGCAAACAAATTCAGTGTGGCAGTGGGCTGTGTTGCAGCCGAATTGTTAGCGAAGAGCGAATCGCGGTGATTTTACGCCAAAGGCGCATCATGTAATTTGCTGTAAGTATAGAGCTTCTGCGAACCGCTTCGCCGAAACCACATTCCCGGCATTCAGAAAATGATACTAACGTCATTTCCCGAGTTTGTCATTATATTTACTTGTTTGAAGTATTTCTTAACTGCGCTTCCTAGCTCGAAATATAGACCCACAGCTTCGGACGCCTCGACTGTGGTGATTAGTGAATCAGTCTTGGCCTGATTTGAGGTACTAACCCGACACTTGCCTGCAGGGATACAGGAAAACTAAAAACTTCACTCAGGATAATATACATCCTAGCTGAGATTGGAACCGGGCACCTCAGAGCTGTTGTCCCTTTAGCCAATTCGCTCGGTCGGACTTTCTGCCAGACATCACGGACACAGGTCATGGCGTAATGCCAGTGCATCAGTCCATGAAGGTACGAAATGTTACTGTATTAGTGTACAACATGGTAATTTTCTCTTTTTTTATTATTATTATTGCAATTCCTTTATTATTATCTCAACTATCTTAATTAATGACATTTTTATTGTTATTTTATTGGGAATTGAAATTGTACTTGAAGAAAGCAGTCTTCTGGGATGTGGCACCGTGTAGATGTGGTGTTAACAGACGTTTCGGAGGAACGTATCGCCCCCATCTTCAGGGTAGAAGGAAAAATAAGAAAATCCGCAAGCGAAGAGACCGTGAGAACCGGTACAAGCAGACTGGTGTTGGAAATAATTACTTGTATGGTAATGGTATTCATTATGTGCAGTATGTCTTGAGGAGCACGTTGCTATGGTGACCCACCTAGTACGCACCGTGGACTGACAGAGTCTGAGAATTAAACATATCGAGTTCCACTTTAGAGAAGCTGTACACGTGCATCTTTTAATTTATCATCCAGGAGATAACAGATATTCGTGATATGTAGGTGGGCGGAACGATCGCTGATATAAATGCAATCATGGATATAACAGTTGATTGATTGACTGATTATCGCTGCAGTTTCAATTGACACAATGTTAAGACCTAATCTTCTCGTCCTCTGATACTAGCTGACAAACAGTCTTCGCTAAGTAAGGCTCGAAGACTATATATTCTATGAGGAAGAGTCAGCAAATAGGTCATAAATTGACCTAAAACATAAAATATGTTATATTCGAACCTGGAATGCCTTTGCGAAAATACATATCTCCTGCACTTTGTTCTAGTTATTGTGCAGCGCCATGTTCCTGGAATTGAAGCCTCAGTTTTTCAGTTTGCATTTTGAACTGAGTACAGCTCACAGAGTTGACATTTAACCAAGACATACAGGAAAGTATTAATACATTCTTCCGATTTCATAAAATGCAATGAAGCACAACTGCTTTCTTTCCGACGTCCAATATCGTAACTTTTCATTCGTCTTCTTCGTTCTGACGCTTCTGAATTCCGATAATAAACTTCAGAGTCCCTTCTTATGGGGGAGGGTTCAATCTAAACTGTATGATTACGAATTCGACAAATTTCAATGGGACGGCTTTAATCGTTTCCCAAGAACCTGCTGTGCCACTGTCACACGAAATAAGAAACAGTGCTTAGGAATTATGGCAAGAAAGCTTCAAAATGATAAGGGTTGAAATAAAGACCGGGGTTATGGGGTGACTCTGTTGCTCCATGTTGGGGGTTGGACCCAAAACTGACGACCTTGCTCTAAAAGTTACTGTTGCGACATGCAAAGTAGAGAAAACTGGACGACAAGTCTGGCAAAATCTTCTAAAGAAGGCTGTGGCTCAAAATGGATGTTTTGCAAATGACTACGACGACCACGATGATGATAATGATGATGATGATGGTGGGGTGACTGGCGATAGTATGGGAGGACAATCGAAATGTGAACATGTTGACGAACATGCATCGCCCTCCTGCAGAGGGTAATTTCTGTAATGAACATGGAAACACACTGAAACCAATCACATCCCAAGTGTGCGACACGTGAGCTATGTGGACAAATCTGACTGCATCAGACGGCCCTGAAAATGGAACTAAAATTAATTTTCGACCTCCCGGATATTTGAGATCTGAACAGGTTTATCTTCCTCGTTTGTTGTTCAGAATTATCACACAGGCATTTTAGAATACGTTAGTAATGGACTTGAGAAGGCTGCGCCCTAGCTCAAGCGGTTAGTCGCTGGATTCCCACCGCGGCGGCCCGGGTCTGGTCAAATGGGATTTGTGGTGGACAAAGTGGCGCTGGGGCAGGTTTTCTCCGAGTACTTCGGTTTCCCCTGCCAATCTTCATTCCACCAATTGCTCCACAATCACCCTCACCTATCATCTGGGGCTGGTACAATAGGCCAGAAGTAGCCGCAGTACAAGGGACTTAGTCCCACCCCACTATCATTAAAAGAAAAGGGAATTGAGAACAAAGAGTGCCTCTACCACACACAACCCCGCGGGGAAGAAAACCACTTCCACCAACCATGACTAAGACAGAGCAAGCATTGACCTTTGGAAGGAAGGCGAATTCGTTGTCATGTGTGATCAGCGAAAAATAAAGAAACGGGGACAAAGTTCAAATGCGTGCAGCGTAGGTTGGTGTGCTGTGTCATACGAAATTAACCCTTCTGAAGGGTGTGCGACATTACACTGGGAGAAGCAGAACATACAGACGTGAGTAATTCCCATCATACCCTCGTAACATTTTTGCAATAAATGGGTGTAAATAAGCCGATGCATTTTCTGGAACGTCTTTAGATATCTGTCTCATTTTGACACTTAAAAAAAGAAAATATGATGGCTGCGAAGAGGGAATTATGAAAGTTTCGATACTTTTACAACACCCAGGGGTGAGGTAATGAAAATAATCCCGTACAAATGGATAATTCAAATAGAGATACAAAAATGGAGAATCTCTGGGGCTTACAGAAGCATTTTAGACACATAAGGCCAGTAAGAGTTGTAAAAGTAAAAATTAAAGGCATTCTTGTAACAGGCTGTGGAGGCCCATGGGATTGTGAGATGTTGTGGTTCCCATATTTTCTAGACAATCAGCTCATAGATGGAGGCAAGGTTGTCAGCCTTATGCGCCGGCCGCCCTTTACCCCCAAGAATATTCCTGGTACTCATTTCTGTTAGAGGTTGAGTCGACCCCAGGGCCATAGTGCGGCTGGAAGGATTAGGTAAATTGAAAAAAATCCAGTGACCTCATCGGGACTTGAACCCGCGACCTTCCGGCTTGTAGCATAGTGCCTCAGCCGAGTACGCTACCGCGTGCCCCTCAGTAAGAGTTGTATTCTTGGAAATTTAAAGAAGTTTTAATAACGCAGTAACCTAAACAGTGTTCTCTTTTGGCATGTTAATCCTTCGTCACCACGGCATGGCACGTCTTCTGCTTTTGGATGGAGGAGACTGCCTCCACAGATAAAGAGCGTAGTTGCAGTTGCGAATATACCTATTGAATAAGGAAAAGAGGACAGCCTACACAGGGTGGATCTCCAGCTTGGGGTTTGGTGTGAGGCTAACAAGTCCTCACCACAGAAAACAGCTTGTTACAAAGTGTCACAAAGGGCTCCTGACTCACTCGGATGGATTCTTTGGAACGAAATAAGCAAATGAAAATTGAAATGATATATGGCACACTGAATGTATGGAGTCTTTATAGGGCAGGCTCAGTGACAACTTTTCATAACTTGCACTCTTCGCCAACTAAAATTAGAATGATCAAGTCAAGGAAGATGAGATGAGCAAGGCATGTAGCACTCATGAAGAAGAGGAAAGCATACAGGGTTTTGATGGAAAGCCAGAAGGAATGAGATCACTAGGAAGACCTAGATATAGGCAGGAGGATAATATTAAAATATATCTTAGATAAATGGGATGGGGTGGTATGGACTGGATTCATCTGGCTCGGTATTAGGACTAGTAGGGAGCTCTTATGAACGCGAAATGAATCTTCGGGCTCCATAATTCTTGACTGAGCATTTGGTGGCTTCCCAGGAAGGGCCCAATTCCCTTTCGGACGCCGATTGATTACTGGATCTTATTTTGCCGCAAGGGTCAGAATTTCTTACAGTACGTTTCACATAACATGAAGCTAAATATATTGTAGAATATTACCTTCATGTGTTTGCCATTTGATTACACATTAAGAGCACAAATCTTCACGTAGTCTGTCTCATCACTTCTTTTACAACCGAAGCATCAAGCTTCGCCAACCGCCAAAATTCCAAATAAGTCGCCCATGGACTGGTCGATCAAAATCGACCAAAATTACCCTGCTGGTATGTATACCTAAGCCCACAGCAGACTAAGCATGTCTCCAGATGTCTCTGCCGTGTAAATCGCATGCTACGAAGTTTCCACCAGGAGCTGAACTAGGGCGCCACAAGGCCATGGCCGCTTGAGCTATAACTGACAGCCGATCTCGTGTGCTCGTGTGCGATTGTGTGTCAGCTGGTTGAGGCGCGGTAAACGTTGGGGTTATTGGAATTGTCGGAACATGTTAGTGGATCGGGCGTTCCATTATATCGGTCATATTGTCCACATAGTTTATTTTCATGTTCCTTAAACGGTCAGGCGTATACATCAGAAAGTACACTGCATGTAGCTTATATCCGAATTATGAGCACCGTATGGAGAATCGAAGATTTGTCTTTTTTCATAAAATAACCGAAGAAAGGTGCCCAAATACGGAAACATGTGGCTTATTTCGTTTAATAGGAGGATAGCAGATATGCATTTTATGCTCTATGAAGGTATGTGTACTATTGCGTTTTTACCAGTACGTTAAGCATGCCGATAGTGAGGAACGTCTAACATGATCTTTCCGAAGTCAGAAATTTGTGAAATCATGTTTGAAAATGTTTTAAATTTGGTAGTAGATTATATGAATTACAAAATCAGTACCGTGGTCGTAAAATTTACGAGTGTAATGTTACTTACTCTTGGAGCTGAGCCCTTCTGGAGGAGCCGCCAATTCTGCAGCTACTCAAGAATTTCCCAGCATTTTATGGAACCCAAAGGTTCATTACTGTGTTCACAAGAGCCCTCCATTGGTCCCTTTCTTGAGCAAGATCAATCCGATCCCATCCCATCCTATATCTCTAAGATCCATTTTAATATTGTCCACCCACCTATGCCTTTGTCTTCCCAGTGGTCTCTTTCCTTCCGGCTTTCCCACCAATATCCTGTATGCATTCCATGTCTCCCTCATTCATACTACATGCCCTGCCCACTTCATCCTCCTTGACTTGATCATTCTAATTATACTTCGAGAAGAGTACAAGTTATGAAGCTCCTCATTATGCAGTCCGTGTTAGGTGGGTCCCTTGTCACCATGGCATGGCGCGTCCTCAGGTTGCGGATGGAGGAGATGTGCTCCAGGTTTGGTGGAATCTGCGAATATATTGAATAAGCAGTTGCGGACAGGTGACAAGGGGAGGTCCTCCAGCTTGGGGGTTGGGCGTGGGGCTAACAACTCACCATAAAAAAATAATCATGTTACGAAAATGAACACAAAGCCTCTGACCTGGACAGTCCTCTGGATAAGCGACCTAGGCTAAAGAAGAGAAAGTGTTATGTTACTAATAGATGTAAACTGATTTTATGAAAACCAAGGCTAGAACTGAACATTTCTGTGCCCTCTTAGAACATTTTCTTTATGTCCGGATCATACCAACAGAAACTATGCACATTATTGTATGATTATTTTAGTTTAGTTATTTGCAAGAGAAATAGCATAACCAAAAAGGTCTGCAAAGTAAAGTTCACTTATGATTTCCTATTTAGAGTTTTTTATCATTGCAATGAACTTTATTACAAAGTTTCAGAGACTCAAGAAGGTATAAATCAATAAACATTGTACATAAGAGGTTCATAATGCCTTGTTTCTGTGATATTAGTGGAATGAGGTTTAACAGTTCATAAAAGGTGAGACATGCTGCTGAACTGAATACTATCCCGTGACGTCATGGTGTACACGAAAGATGTGGCAAGATAAGAGGGCTGGAAAGGTGAAGAAGTGAGCTCCAGTGTTGGTATCAAAAAGAAAAACATTGACAGCCTAGCTATTGATCTGTTGGGAACATTAATGTTAATTAGCTTGAGATTTATTGATGTGTTCCATGAAGGATGTTTCTATTGATCCATTTTACTTTTGGCTGGCCGCAATATATCTTACTTGGCTGTGTGTGATTTTACCTTGTGTCAGGTGGAGTCTAACAGTCCGTACTTTTGATGTTAATGGATAGAGTATGAAGTTACAGACTGAATTTGAGAAGCATCTGGAATGCTTTTCAGCTGCAGGGGTCCGAGTATTATTTCATGATTTCAAATTTTTGGTCCTCTTTTTTGCAGTTCTTGGAGGGATCTGGGCTGTACTTCCTTTTTACCAATACTGTTTTCATGTCACAGGTGCTGGATTTGTTTTCAAAGGAAAGTGAACTTCATTAATTTTAACTACAGGCTGTGAATTGCACAAAGGATTTACAGGAGAAGAAAATATGGCTCATATGCATCTTTGTGTAATATTCATATCTGGAATCTTCCTGTGTGGTAAGTGTATGCATTTTAGTTAGATATTAATATGTCCCATATCTGTACAAGGCCCGTCATATTTGTAGAGATCAGGTAGACATAAACCCTCTCATAAGCCTGTATTTGTTTTCTTAGCTTTCTGTAGGTTTTCCCCATGCCTCCTAATCAGGAAGAAAGCAGAGCACAGGTGTAAACTTCCGTAGTTGGCATATTAGTCTCTCATCATTACCTTGCATGTTATGACTCAGAGTGGTTTGTATTGATATGTTTCACATTATTATTATATGCAGTAGCGACGGCCTCTGTGGTCTAGCGGTCAGAGTTCCCATCTTCAGGATTGAAATCTCCTACATTAGAGGCAAAAAGTTTCTCAAAAGACGGTACCTACAACTGTGATCACAGTCTGAATAATCACCACTGTAAAAACTTCAAGACATGTAGTTCCTGTTGCCTTATATTCATTTGTTGTTTATTTGCTCTTATTTATTATCTGTTTTGTTAGTAAGAAGATACTTAAAGACAACGAAGTGTTGATTTGTATCATTTTGATGATATATTGTTGGCTGCCAAATATTACAGATAGGTAGGCTTCATGGCCAGGACTCAATCCCTGGCTGGGAAAAGGGCTTTCCTCTTTGTGATTGTGTTCGGATTGGCTCTAAAACATATCCAGTGGATATGAGGAGCATACAGACTAATTTGAGTGTGGGCTGTACAGTCAATATTTATCATCCATTTTAACTTTAGCATCTTACGGTTTTCCGTAATATGTTCAGGATTTTTAGCTAGTACCTTCAAATGGGCCATAACTACTTCCTTACAAATTCTTACCTACCAATTGTTGATGAGAGTTTCACCAGTCTCATTGAACGGTATGTATCTAAACTGTGGAGTTCAAATAAATCCATATAATCTGAGAGTTAATGAGTCAACTGCCACATGGCAAGATTTAGACTGAGATGTAAGTCCTGAAATTATGTTTACTAGGAAAATAGAACCAGACAGTACAGTTCCTTTTCTGGAAGTTCTGGCCTTCAGAAAGAGCCGCTAATGTTTATAGGAAACCCACCCACACTGGCTACTACCTCAGCTTTGAATTTAATCATCCTCCACGTGTTAAAAAGGGACTAATTGAGAATATACAATTGAGGTTGTTGTACTGTATGCCAAGGACAGCATGATCTTTAGCTCACTTGTTATCCCCAGTTTATTGACTCTGTTCTTAATTCCAAGGGTAGTAGTTGTCTGGAGAAAGAGAGAAGGCTACTTGGCTCTGTGTCTGTCCACTCTCTGGAGGACAGTTCTGAAAACCTCAAGTGTATAGATCATCATTACAACATTAGGATATCTCAAAACAGGCAGACTGTCAGCAGGTATAGGAAGTGCAGGAAGTCAGTGCATTTACAGTTTGTTTAACAAACCTGATCAGACAACCCAGTCTGGAAATTTTCCACATATAGAGTCCACTTATCACTGAGGTTGACAACTTACAGGGAGTGTTGCTAGTGGTTGATAGGTATTGTAAAAACATGAAAATATTAGTTTTTCATCTCTGCTGATGTTTTTGATTTTGTTGTTGGTTTGGTTTACTGCATTTATTTTCCACTTATTTTCTATCTTAGTTTCAGGTCCTTCCACAGTTTTTATTGTAAATTTTCCTTTTATCTCCCATTGATAAAACCTGATCTCAGGTGCTGCATATGTATTTATTTATTTCATCTCTAGATCATTGTTACATGATATAGGACAAGTCAGTTACTGTACATTGGCCGATTACAATAAGATAATAAAGTTACAATACTTAAAATTGTTTACAGTAGATTACAGTAGATTACAAGAGTTAAGATTTCATATAGTGTGAGGTGGAATCCGTATTAGGTCCCCTCGGCACGTTGGCTTCCATATGTCCTATTGTACCTTGTGCCGTCTACCGCTCTGCTACCACAGCACCGTCACTCTGGCACCTTTCGGCTCCGTCTACCCTTCCTCAATCGGAGGGGGAAATGGTGTTCCGTCATACGGCTCTCGTGTTGTGCCCACACGCTCCCTAAGTTAGAGTAAGGGATCCTAGCTAGCAGCGAGGTAAATCTAGTTACAAATGATGGCAATCAATGTAATAAGAAATAACAGAATTTAATAAACAAAACTAACACATAAACAAAGACAAGAATTCATCGTCATTACAGCGCACGAGCCCAAGAAATTAAACAGAACAACTCAACTAATCGCACATTTACATGCTCACACACAGCGGCATCTAACTCGAGCAGAATGGCCCATATTTACTGGCGCAACAATTTGCCTTGGTTGCATGAAAACATAACTACTACTTTCTAGCCGGGCCACAGGCTGAGTCTAAACCAAATACACAATATAAATTATAAACACAGGTTTAACTAAACTGGTACGAGTCGCCGCCGTACTACAAACCCAACGACGGGCGACCACGGGCGATCTTGCCGGCCGTGAACCAGCCCACTACTTGCCGAAACCAATTTTGGACTCCCAGCCGAACAGGAATTTGACAATCACTCTGGCTGGCTTGGTGCAGTGAGCAAGGCCCTATGGATCCATAACCAGTACTGTCCTCCAAACTCGAAAAAACTTCCAAGCAAGGCTCCCAGGGGTAGAAAGGAGGGGATAGGGCAACACCATGTGACCCAGTCCCGCATGGGGATGGGGTGGGGGATAAGTTTAAGAACCTCGATCAAGGGGCTGGAAGCCCATGACGTCATTCCGGAGCCACTGCATGGCTCAACCTGTACTGGTGATAATGCTTATGGAGAATTTGATGGAATGAGGATTGGCAGGGGAAACCGAAGTACTCAGGGAAAACCTGCCCGAGCGCCACTTTGTCCATCACAAATCCCACTTGACTAGACCGCAGCGGTAACACTGGCATAGATTGTCCAGTGTTTGATATTAGCTATTTCTGTTGGACCCAGGTACCTCCCACCCTTTCACCTAAGGATGGACACATATCCAGTTTCTGAAACATTCTCCTCTTTAGAATACCAGATGATGAACAAAGTCCAGTAACTCAGTAATTCTGTAGAAATGTTAATATTGTTCAGTGTAATTTTATAAAATGCTTTTTGTCATGTAGGACCCACTAGAGGTGATCCTTCGCTTCAAATGTCAGAACATGATCTGAGAATGGAGGTTGGTGGCAAATGGGAGTTGAACATACATATATGGTAGGTGAGATTCAAATTTTTCATTTGAAGTGTTTACTGGTTTTGGTGCTTTAGTATAATACATAATGAAATGTTTTGATTCAAATCTTTTCACTTTCATATATCTTCTTATATATAAAGACATCAAACATTTGATCTAATTTTGATCCAAATTAAGTAAATACTGAAGATTCTATAGAAAATAGAGGCATTCAAGTTGTATACAGAGTGATACAAAGCTGTAGTACAGTACCTTTAGAAGGCTATTAGGGAGACCAGCTGTATACAGAGTGATCCAAAGCTGTAATACAGTACCTTCAGAAGGTTATTAGCGAGACCAGCTGAAGCTGAAAATGTAAGGTTCCCCCCCATGATTTGCCACTGTTAAGCTAGTGCAGTGTTTATGTCTTTCTGTTATTGTTATTGTCAGTTTTCCAAAATGGAAACAATTCTTTTTAACATAACACATGTCAGTTGAGCTTATTGTGTACTTTTAAAGGAAAAGGGGAAGAAAATTCTCTCCTTTGTAGCTCTTTTTGCTCAGTGCTTCAGAGTACCTGTTTTAAGTACACCCTTATCATGTGATGGACACTTGTCAGTACACTGTATGTTCATATTTTATTGCAGGTCAGGGGCCGAGACTGAATGTGCTAATATTTCCATCACTTATAATGAAGACATAATTGCAACAGATAAGCAAGTTATCCCTGTAGTGCATTCTGTTTCGAACTACAGTGTTACAGTGCTAGCAAGATATCCTGGGCATGCCACTGTAAACTTCAGTCTTGTGGACGCTGTGGGTGATAGGTATTGTGTCAGCTGTTATTCTATGTAACTATTTCATAATTACTCTATTTTTTTTTTGCATACATTCTATTGACAGATTCTGTGAAGAATTTAAGCACTACTAAAAAATGTAGTTAACACTAGAATAATCTCCCTTTTATATTTCTTTTGATATATTTACCTGTTTGTGAAATAATGGTAGTGCATAACTTAATTCATACCGATCTGAAAATTCTAGTTGGCATTAAGACATTTAACTGCAATTAGAAAGTATACAGTTTTATAATTTTCTTTGTTCATTTATACATAGTGGCTAAGACACTACTGATTTTTTCACCTTTACATTGGGATCTGTTTCTGTATCCCTCAGAAACGGGAAGTGGGGCTGTGTTACAAATTGACATGCCTAACTGATTATTTCATATTCCCTCATGCTAACTTACTGATATAACACTGGCATCAGAATTCATAGGTTCAGTACCACTGAAAATCAGAGCAGTTCATTGGAAACGTTCCTGAGCCACTGTCAACCACCTTTGATCCCTTTCTCATCTTCTAAGTAGACATTTTTAAGAGATTTTCCCCACCAGAATTCAGTAAATATTTCTTGTCTCCCTCATCCTAGCCACAAACTCCACCCATTGAAGCTATCAAGATGCATGGGCTTTATTTTTTAATTTTGACCGTAATTGGTCATCGTGTCTTCTTGTTTTTAAAACCATGTAAGGTCATTGATTTTCTTAAACAGAAACACAAAGATAGTTCATGGTTAACCTGGACTTTATATTTTTCTTGAAGACGGCACCAGAAAAATAAAACTCGGTCATGGACAGCTGCTGTCAACACTGCACTTTAAGTGCTTTTTAAAAGACATTATTAAAGAAAAACTTTGCAGAAGTTCCTTTTTTCCCCAGATTGTGGGTGATTTTTTTAGCACCTTGAGTGTCAGAAATGACGTGACAGAAATTTAGAAAAAGAAGTGGACAGAGGTGTTTTGCTGTCGATCCAATATGGATACTGAATTTTATCACAATCTGAGATTGTGAAGTGTAAATTTTACTTTCATGCATGGTGGGTCTTCTGTGGAATGACCCATTATCCTTGAGTACATGCTGCTGTGGCTTTTTCAGAGCTGGATTATTTTCAGTGATTGTTTCCCATTTGATACCTGAGGAATTACAAATTTAGATTTATTATCACTGGCCCTAGAAGTGATATCCAGATCTGCTTCTTGAAGTGTTTTTTTTTTACCATCACTTAGAATATGTATTTCATGGGAACTATTTATGAAAACAGAGTAGATACAAGTACCTGATTTTATAGTATATGATCATAGGGCCAAAATATGAAGTATCACGGTTGAAACTATTACCAAGAAGTGGTAAAAGTCTGGACAAATGTAAAGTAAATACAGTTCGCACAGTGAGACCGCAGACTTTGAATCAGATCTGTTCCCCAGCATTAAGGAAACATTACTTGGGCGAAATCAACCTTTGATCATTTTAACTGAGACTTTAATTACTTTTTGGTTTTTTTATTTCCATGTTAAATATTCCCAGCAGTGACATTCAGTTTCTTTGAAGAAAGCAGTCTTCTGGGATTTGGCACCGTGTATATGTGGTGTTAACCGACATTTCGGAGGAACGTATCGCCCCATCTTCAGGGTAGAAGGAAAAATATAAGAAATCCGCAAGCGAAGAGACCGTGAGAACCTTCTACCCTGAAGATTGAGGCGATACGTTCCTCCAAAACATTGGTTAACACCACATATACACGGTGCCAAATCCCAGAAGACTGCTTTTTTCATAGTCACCGCCATGAAAACCTCAAATCTTACATTCAGTTCCTTTGTTTGCGTGTTGTTGCAGAGTACTGGATACGAAGTTTGTAAGAGTGACTGTAGAACACGATGAAGTCATATATTATGTAAGTGCTGTGATTGGTTGGATCTACTTTGTGGCCTGGTCTGTGTCATTCTATCCACAAATATATGAAAACTGGAGAAGGAAAAGGTAACAAGCAACCAGAGCCAAACTTTGGGATGATCTGAACCAAGAGAGAGTCTCTAAAGTACGTGCACATGCATGCAGTGAAATCCCTATTTAAGGTTTATTTGAGCACTAAACTGAGGGAAATATTAATAAGTAGTTACTATAGGATTCTGACGATGGTGTATAACACACAGAGATATTGGGTTTTTGGACTTTAGCTATCGTCCTGGTTTTTAAGATAACTAAGAAAAATACGACGTTTCGGAAACTGGATCTGTTTCCGTCCTCGTGTTTTTCTTAGTTATCTTAAAAACCAGGATGATAGCTAAAGTCCAAAAACCCAATATCTCTGTGGAAATATTAATGCCAGGTAGTTTAGTGTCGAGATTATTGACTTTGGGTCATAGAAATTGAATGTTAAATGCTTAAAGACCTTGAATTGAGGAACATTAAATAGGGATTCCACTGAATTTGATAAAGCAGTAGCAACAGATGTTTCAGCCACAAGTAGATGTAAATATGAGCTGGGATAGCGTGATCAGGAAAGTGACAGGCTACTGCCTTGACAGCTGAGATACAGTGTTTGGGGGTGGAGGGCGCAATGTTCAGAGTGACATCCTAGGGGTAGAACAGATGAGGATTGAATCTGATTATTCAGTTCTGTCTGATGTTGAATTCAAAAATGTGTTGAGCTTTACCTCTCTCCCATTTCATGGTATGGTGTTTATACACAAGGCAGTTTTAGATTTTCCTATTTTGACGTTGTGGAATTGCAGTGTGAATGAATCATTTGATTCATTTTAATGGCGAATTTCCTGCAGTCGTACTTCAGAATGTAATTTGTATCAAAATAGAGCATTTTTAGTGTTTGAAATAATAAAGATAAAGTGAAGTCACTGTGCTTAAGTAATCAAGCACTATGCCATGAAGACATATGGGGAAGTGGATGTATAGATCCACATTTTCTTGACCTGGGCACTAGTTGGAGGTGTGTGGTCAGCTTCATGCCTCGACTGCTTTACCTCTGGGACTCCCCTGTACCCATTGGATAGGAGGCTGGGTGTGCCCCAGATTCGGTCTGGAAGACATGGAGAAGTGAAAATTCTTGTCCCCGTCGGGACTGAAATTTCAACCCCTTGGTTGTCCAGCCCATAGCTAGTTGCTGTACTGGCTGTGATATCCCAGCTCTTTAAAATAATGAAAGGTTTGTAAAACATGTAACAAAATTCTAGTGCTGAACACAACTACACATAATAATGTTTATTGCTAGTCAGACAAGGAGGAGTGTGACTGCTCTCACCTTATAAAGGACAGAAGCAGCTAATGATCTGAATAAGGTCTGTGTATAATTGTTTTATTTCTTGCTTTCAGTGTTGTGGGACTTAATTTTGACTTCTTGTCATTAAATATTGTTGGCTTTATGTTATATTCCCTTTTCAACTGTGGTCTCTTTTGGATTACAGAAGTAGAGGTGAGTACTTGTGTTAGAAACCTGTTTCTTATAGAAAGAGCACTGTGTTTATATGTAACGTGAGTCTATGTGTTTTATCTGTTTGTTATATTTTACTTTTCATTTTATATCTTATTTTAGTATATAATAATGGACTGCTTCTATATCTCTGGTGACTGTCTTGCCTGTACGGATTGCTTGAGGTAATAATAAATCAAATCAGGATATCCTTTGGTCAATATGAATGTACTTTGTTCTTAGTAACTGCACTGGGAGGTAATGCATATTGTGGCCAAGGATACATGCCAGTCACTGACAGAAAATGTGCTCATTTTTTATTATCAAAGTAGTGCATCAGCAAAATTACCTGTTCTTTGCTTAGGTTTCTTTTCTACATAACTTTTACTGAAATATTTAAATTGCTTGCTTGTTAGGACACTCTCCAGAAAATGTTTTCCTGTTAACAAACTTTTATATTTGCTCCCATAGCTCCAGACAGTGATTAAAGAGTTGAGAGTGACAAAATGGTGGACAGATCAGTTTGCACTAGCAGTCAGAATAGATATGGAAGAAATGAGAGTTAGAAATAGATAGCACTGTTTAAAAAGATTCAGAGTGTGGCAGAGAAACCTGATGAATTTTAAGATGCATTATGTTGGCAAGCCATGATGATGAGATGGCAGGGACCATGTCATTTGGTAGCTTAACTGAAGCCACTGCAGTAGCCATAGAGCAGTGGAGTGCAACATGGTGTGTTTATTGTTGAAACATTTTGTAAAAGTGGTGACTTTGTTGTGAAAACACAACAAATATTTTGCAAGCATTTCATCGTTGCTTGTCATGAATACCATATAGTTATGGGTAGAAAACTTGAGAATGAATACTTCCTCATAAAACAAAACACAAGGCAGTGTGTGTACAGTGCGATTGTCACAGAACATTGAGGCTGTGAGGCAGTATTTCATAAGGAGTATTAAGCATTCAGCCAGGAAACATTGAGTTGCTCTAGGAATATCCGTTTGCAGCATGAGGAGAATTTTATACAAGGATCTAAGTTCCCATTTTACAAAATGGTGGTGGCACAAGAGTTAAGGAATCATGATATGGTAAACCATAGCACAGTAGCTGAGCATTTAATCAGAATTTTGTCTGACAGTGTCATTATTCTGACAGATGAAGCACACTTCCACTTATCTGGCTGTGTCAGCAAACAATATTTGCTATTAGGCAGTTCCATCTGCGGCCTCTTAACAGTGGCATGAGACAGTTTGATGTGGAGTGGCAACCTTCAGAGTCACAGGCTCTTATTTCTTTGAAGACGAATGAAGATGTAATGAAATGTATGTGAAATAAAATATTCATTCATTTTGTAACAATAAATTAAAATGTTATGTTTCTGGACATTATCCATGGTCCTGTCTTATCTAAAACACGGTACTGTTTATATTTCAAAACAACGTTTTGGGGACTGGATTCTGCCTCCATTTTCAGGCTAAACCTACCCAGTTGAGTCAATTCGATGCAGCTAGTCCCTATCACTGGAGATAGGGACTAGCTCTATCAATTGGGCCCATCTGAGTAGGTTTTACCTGAAGACAGAGACAGAATTCAGTCTTAATAATGTTAAGTTTTGAAATATGAGTACAATGTTTTGGATAAAAGCAGGATGATGGATAATGTCTGGAAACATTATATTTGTTCTAACGTACCATTGTCACAAACTTTTAGATCTTATTCTTTACTGTATTTGTATTCATCACCAAATACTAGGTTATCAAGTTTAGCAGAAAGAGATGCGTAGGATACACAATTTTGTATGTGCGTGTGTGACCTCAGACCAAGAACGGAAGAGGCCTGGGCATAGATGAAAGGGTAACATTAAGGTGACATTAAGGATCTAAAGTGTAAGTAGAAACCAGTGGTTGACCTTGTGAATAAGGCAGTAAAAGACTTCTGGTTCTATAAGTGGTGGAGAATTTCTTGATGCATTTAGCAGCTGTTAGCTTTACAAGAAGGACTCTGCTTGTGTAGTTAGGCAGTTGGTTGTGAGATATTTCGTAGAATGTACTGGACAGGAATTTCAAGGTTTAGGATCTTTGTAGAAGTGTATGTAATGAATTTAATCTTCTGTCTTTTATTTCTTTGTTAGGAGGAGTATATGCGCAGATATCCAACCGGGTTGAATCCGGTTCAAGTAAATGACATTGTGTTCTCCCTTCATGCCTCTGTTGCTACTCTGATCACCATTATTCAATGTTTCATTTATGAGGTAAGCCACACTACAGATGCCTCCTCCCCCCACCCACCTAGAAAGAAAGGCATCGGTATATAGATATGGTAAACTGAGCAAGTTTCAGTTCAATATTAATAAAAAAAGAACCTTTAGACAAGTTTTACTTCATTTTATAATTTTGTACAGTGAAACCTCTACAAAAGACCCTTCTGTATACCATCAGCCTGGCATGACCCCCATAAAAGCTTAGGAACAGAAATTTCCATTGCAGTTTGAAGGGAAATCCACTGGTAAAGCACCACCTCATCCAGCTGCCATCTGTATAAACATGATAATCAAGCACGATAACTGCACCATTCCATTTTGTTTCCATGAGCTATAAAGACAGCTTTCCAGATTACATTCAGTAAATGTGATGTTGGACTTTGTGTGGTTTCCTGCTTCAAGCAGTTCCACACCCAAAAACAGTTTTGAAAAAACAAACAAAAAGACAAGTGTACATAGTGTAAATATTTCTTCTTTCATTACTTTCAACATTGAAAACCCCCAGGGAAGTAGTTGTTGAAGGTGAATATTTTCTATTATAAAAATTTGGTCTAAACTGTTTGAATGTCTAATACTGTTCTAAATTAAACTACAGTGATTATTCCTAGCTTGTGTATGAATTACTTATCATCAGTCAGTAAAATAAAAAATAATTGTCGTATTGTGACAGAATGGCTGAAAGAGCAACCATTGTTAGGCAATGGCAGAGTAAACATGTGATAATACCTGATCCGTTGCAAGGCAGTGGTTTGATAAACACATTTTAGTGACAACAAACATGTGAAACTACAATGGAGGAGCTGCTGGAAACAGTGTTGTCTGTTGGGTCTCACCCAGGGCTTTACTGTAATGAGCCATCGGAGATAAAGTCAAGTCTTGTGCCTTGTGAGACTCAGAACCAAGAATTACTGTGCTGGCAGGGTCCATCAATTTGCAGGCCAGCCAGTCAGTTGTCACAGAATCAGCAGTTTAGTTAGTTTGTTGGTTGAGAGGCAATCACAAATTGGTAAGGATGTGAGCATGCAAGCACCAGTTACCAATTCAAACCCCACGTTTAGTCACTACCACATGACAGTATTGAAAATTTCAAGTCAATTTGTAATATGCTTAAAATGTACATAACATTAGAAATTTACTATGCAAGTACCACTTTACAGGGTGTTGTTTACTTGTTATTTGAAGGTAGATATTGGTAAGCCTCCGGAAGATTTAAAAATGGAATTAATCAGTTTGGTCACAGATACTAACCTGAACCAAAAATTTTCTCAAGCAAAATTGCAAGATTGTTATTCTTACATGCAAAACAAAAATTACCTTTATTCACATCTTTGGGTTAAGAATGATTGCAGTGTTTGGCAGCACATGTGTGAACAGTTTTTTTTCTTTGTAAACAATAACAGCACTAAAAGCACATGAGATTTGTAATGACCGTGGTTGCCACTAGTATCTCATGTAGGATAAAAATTCTCTCCCAGCCCAAATGATACCAATTTGCACAGTAGCTAATTTGAGATTTGACCAGTAAGTAGTATAAAGATATTTATAGCATAACACCCCATAGTTCTTCCTTAATTTTTTGGAGAGAATGTTATGCAGGATATGTGAGCAAGAAGAGAATGAAACCATACCAGCATATATCAGCAGAGAGGTACAGTACAGTACAATTTTAAACTGATGATGATAGACTAATATTAATATTGTGCTGGTTTTAAACAAAATACTTAACCTCATATTACTGAAAATGACATGTAGCCTGCCATAAATTTCAAAATTGTCCCTTTGGTCTCTGTATGATTTGAGCTTGAAACCACTGTTCTGCATCTTATTGTAGATTGAGGTTAATCTGTTTTGTGTATTAAGTTACTTAAAATGAGAAAATTCTCTATTTTGCATTTTATTAGAATTCTTGAATTTAGCAATGACTAAAAAAGAAAATTGAAACATAATGTTGTGTTATGTTATATAATGTTTCTCTGTTTTCAGCGTGGAAGCCAAAGGGTATCATGGACAGCACGTGGCTTACTTGCAGTTTTTGCTGCAGTTGTGCTCATTAGCTTAATACTGGCATGGACTGATGTGATTGAATGGCTTGACTTCTTGTCATACTGTTCCTATGTGAAGCTTGCCATCACACTTATCAAATATGTTCCACAGGTAAAACTCTGAAATTATGAAAACATGAACATTCTGTTGCAGACTTAGATAATTAAAATCTAAAAGTTCATGATGATGGTATATTAATACAGTGATTGACTTTTTGCGCATTGTCCGTCATCCTGTTTTTGTTCAAAACAATGCTGTGAAGTTTCTGAATAGTTTTTATATCAACCTTGCATTTGAATTGCTGGTGTACTTATCAGGGTGGGTCCTCACATTCTTGAAACACTACAGTTTCACAAACTTCACCACTGCTAGTGGTGGAAACTTCTCACACCCATCTGAATTTGAACATGGAAAGCATTTATACTCTCCTTACTGTTCTTTCCCCCATGGCAAAGTTCTCCTCCAAATGATAGTGTCTCCTAGGGAAGAGAGCTGAAAAAGATGCCAGTCTCAGGAGCATTGAATTCATCTTTTGGCCTGTATCCTTCCAGATGCCTAGCCCATAAATGGGTCTTCTAGTAATCATCTGCCACTCACACAAAGCATATTTTTTGTATGTTAACTTTGCGACTTTTTGAATCTGTCCAACCATCCATTGGATGCCTTTAAATTTTCAAGACCTAATTTTAGGTCTACTCATACAGCCTTCTCCCTTATAGCTGACACATTAATTAAGAGGTTCACAGGACAGATGCCTTCAGACCACTTGATCATAACTTTTTCCAATTCATCATGTGGAGAAGATTTAATGTTCATGCGCTTGCATGCTGCATCACCACAGTTCAGTTCAGCACTAAGAATGATGTCCTTGTTTTCTGTCATACACACAATAGGAAAGATGTTACATTTAAAATTTTCATTCTATTTCAGTTCCAAGAACATTATAATTTGCTTTCTCTTCTTGAATAATTCTGACCTTTTCTCTAATTGTAAGCTTCTTCCTCTTCATAGAGGCCATAATGAACAGTAAAGAAAAGAAATACTATTGACAGATTTCAGAATTCACTCATACTGTTGCTTGTCAGAGATTATAGCTGAGTGATAAGGGTGGCAAAGAGAAAATGTGAATGTTGGTTGTTGTTTCGACCACGATCACCCTAATCGATGAATGAAGATGGAACATCTTTTACACTAATTGTGAGATATTTACTAAATCGAAATTCACTAAATACAGGAAGGAATATATTGTATATATGGAACTTTGGATGCGGCTGGAAGAAGAAGGTTGACAAAAATGTTCTTTTTTAACTCTAGGCATACATGAATTACAGAAGGAAAAGCACTGAAGGCTGGAGTATTGGTAATATCTTCCTTGATTTCACTGGTGGACTTCTCAGTATGCTGCAGATGATCCTTAATGCTTACAATTACAGTAAGTGATACACATATGTGTTTCTTTTCTTGCTTATGTTACACCTGTCTCTGTCTGTCCACAAGAACATTTAACTTTATAAAGAGCTTTCCTGGACTCTGTTGGAGAAACATTTGTATGGAATGTTTTGGAAACTGGTCTTATTTTCATCTCACACTTCAGGCACATTTTTCGGCTCTTGTCATTGTTGCTCCTAATTATACTAAGTTCTTCTGAATTTTGGTACCAAGCAACATGGTATTTTTAGTGCAGTGTTACTCTTAACTATATCTTTCTTTAACACACCATTTTAAGGGAACATTTTTTTGAGTGAAGTAGGCTGTGGCTGCCTGATGTGTTATAATTTTTGCTGAACCATTACTGGAAGAAACTTTCTGCTTCTTGTCAGTTTTAATATACTACTTGGTGTGATCAAATAATTTACAGATACATTTTTTCTCCCTTATAACTCTATCTACTGTGTATTTCATGCTGTTCTCTCGGAATTAGTTCCCTTAGGATTGATGCATCAAGTCCAGTAATTGTGCCACTGATGGAAGCATTTTCAGAAGTCCTGTATTTTGAACTCAGTATGTGCAGCCTGTGTTTGTTATTGAACTGTGATATCATCAGATTTCCTACCTTTCAGTGCCAAGGGAGTATGGATGAAATGCCACAACTGTCATGCCAGTTTAGCTGTAATTGATGCACAGACAAACCAGAATGCACAAGGGCATTTTCATGATGGAAAAACTAGTCTCCAGCACACCGCTTGGGACTTTTTACACATATATTCTCATAGATACCTGGAACATCTGAATAGAAATTTTGTGTTCACAGTTTGGCTGCATGGGAATAATACATGATGCATAATTCCATGAATGTTGAGAAACATAGGAATGCTCCTCAAATTGGGCCACACTTGTATGGCCTTCTTGGACACACATATGATGGGCTTTTCCATTGAGTAGACTTTGCATGTTCATACCTGTAAGCCTGTGTGTCACTGCATATGGTGATGTTTAAAAGTACTGTGTTCAGTCTGAATTTTGTCCTGTAGGTCCTCTCCTACATAGATATGATTCTGTTTTTGCTTGCCAACAGACACATGAATTTTGCAGCAGTCCATCACATGTTTAAATCTTATGTCAGAATATTTTGTTGTGATCCATATTAAATTACCATCTCATTAAGAAACTCAAGGAGGGAGTGCACTCGTTTTAATGAATAAATTCCTTGATTCATGCTGCATTTTCATTCATTTTGCTCATAATAAATACCCAGCATCTTGAGCCAGGATATTGTTTCCTCTCCAAAAGAAAGCTTTGCAATCTTGTAGGTTTCTGTAGCAGTTTTACCTGGTTTGAAGCAAACTTGATATATAGTCTTTAAAATCTGCCATTTTAAAATACTATGTAAATTGCAGATGGCCTGGTATACATTCTCAGTTCACAAGGTGTTACTTCTGAGTGACATAAGCTACACCTATGAAATGACTGACTCCACTTCCATCAAGCAGAACAGATGTGTCCTGACTGCTATATTATCATTCTGGGATCAATCCAAAATCTAAATGATCACTCCATGTAGGTACTTATCAGAAGAAACTGATATTTTGAAGCCATGACAGTTGCTATTCTGCTTTTCAAATGTTCCCACAGAAAGAAGTATTGTGTTCCGTTATATCTCCTCCCTTTATTTATTGTCAGTCAGGCTTTTAGGATCATGTCGATGTATCTTACCCTCGAAAAAATTTAGGCACTTGGCAGATTTTCATAATCATAGATGTTCATGAAAATCATGCCATTAGAGGCTCTGTGATCATTTTGTATTTCTGTAATATACAACTCAGTCATACCAGCATGGTGACTGCAGGTGTGTGAGGTGGAAGTCGCACTATTACAAGCCAGTGTAAGATTCTGAAGTGTTGTTTCTGTCATATAAAACAGCATACTGATTGAGAAAATTTACATTTAGTTTTCAGTTTGATAGTGTTAAGTAATGAATTGTTAGAGCTAAGCATATGGAATTTTGAAAATCGCCATTGCACAGTGTTTACTGACATTTTGGAGGAGTGTTGTTCCTCTGTATTCAGAGTAGCTCGTAAATGTCTACAGGACTACTTGACATAATATCCCAAGGACAGTATTCTTTATAGTCACCATAGCAAGAACCTCAAATATCATATGAAATTTTGTATGGAGGTGGATCATAAGTATACCAAGGTCTGCTATATGAACGACCTTTTTGATAATTTTGAACCTGTCAGTGCTATTAAATTTTGAGGTTATACTGTATTTGACAAATTAACATAATTAGATTCTTTACTACTATACAGTTATTAAGTATAGTCCTTAGTAGCCTCGCCATATAGTTTGAAACATTTGAAGAAAGGTAAGCATCATAAATTCTTTCCAGAACTTCTTTTTTCATATTCATATTCACATTTTTCTGTGATAAGACTGAGACAGCCAGTGTTCATTTTCTTCTGCATTTCTATAGTGAACTCTTTACACAAAGAATGAATATTTAATAGTAATGACAGTACTGAGGTGATTTTCGGTTGCTCTCATTTTGCATCTCAGTAGTGCCCTGTGTGTTAATTCTTTGGACTCCTGTCACCAAATGAAACATATATGAACCTATAATCATTGTACCACTACCATCCTTCTCCCTGATTTTGTGCCAGACAGCTCATTATCTTCTTCATGACACCTCCTACTAACTGATATAAAATTCCTTGCATTATCCACAAATTATCACATTCTTTCTGGTAGGCCCTCATCAAGAGAAACATTTCTACTCCAGTTTCTTTGTTAGTTGCATCATTGCAGAGAGAAGTCATGACTGTTGGCCATTATGCATATGGATCGGTCAGAAATCATGTACTCTTATGTCGAAAAAAGTATTCTCACCTAGTTTGTTTATTAATGCTAGTGGGGTGGGACTAAGTCCCTTGTGCTGTGGCCACTTCTGGCCTATTGTACCAGCCCCAGGATAGGTGAGGGTGATTGTGGAGCAATTGGTGGAATGAAGATTGACAGGGGAAACCACAGTACTTGGAGAAAACCTGCCCCAGTGCCACTTTGTCCACCACAAATCCCACTTGACCAGACCTGGGATCGAACCTGGGCCACCGCGGTGAGAAGCCAGCGACTAACCGCTTGAGCTATGGCACAGCCTTCTCACCTAGTTACTGAGTATAATAGCTGATTATTTAAGACAACATTGTTTAGTTGAATATTTGTTTGGTTGTACAGTAAAGTTTGCAAGTTATAATATATGTTTATGATGCCATTTCTAGATGATTGGGAATCAATATTTGGCGATCCAACAAAATTTGGACTGGGCTTGTTCTCTGTTGTGTTTGATATATTTTTCATCATTCAGCACTACTTTCTCTACAGGTAAGTCCTTGATTTCTAGAATACTATACCGATTGAAAAAGCAGTGTTGTTTAGCAGAACTCCTACAGGCAGTGCATATGTAGTCAGCAGTATTCTTGTATATTTTCACTATTTTATCTCGTTTATAGTTTGTATTTAATAGCTGTGAATGTATTAGGTTATTATTATTATTATTATTATTATTATTATTATTATTATTATTAGAGGGGGTTGGTTTCCCCATGCACTTAGACCAGTTATTGGTCCATTGTGCATCCCCCTTTAATTTCTACTGTTGCCATACCCTACCGGTACTGGTGCGTGCTATCAGCCCTGTTCAGCGAACGAGGTCAGCCCTCACTACCTGATATTTCCCCCATCTACCAGAGGCATTGGAAATGTGTTGCCTAATTTTGCTCAGAGGTCTCCTAGAGACATGAGGATCTTTTACGTGCTGTAAATCTACGACACAGGACCCACGGCTTAAAGTCCCTCCCGGAGGACTCGTTCCCTGAATTTTTCCGCCCTTAAAAATTCCACGACCTCCGCTGGGTTTGAACCCATGTACCTTGAGTCATGAGGTGGGAATGTATTAGGTTACTTTCCATCCAAATTGATGACTTGCATTCTTGCCTTTGGACAATTCCATTTTTATACTTTTCTGTCCCAAAATTATTTCTAAAATTACATTCAGCTTCTTTCAATTGAGAGAAAGAAAAGGTTAAAGAAGGTTCATTAATTCTGAACCTATCACCATATAATGTTTTACCATAAGGAATTTTTATAATCTTTTTTCAAACATAGAAATAAGAGGACCTGGTTCAGTCCTAGGGTACTATATATGGGAAAAGATGCACCAGGCAGATTTCTTTCTTTCTTTCAGTTCTTTTAGTTCCCCTGTCCATCATTCTAGCAATTCTTCATACTCTTGTATTACCATATTCATTATGGGCTGGTCCAGTAGGCCCATTGAATCTACAAATATATCTTACTCTGTCAGTTCATACTCAGTTTGATGTCCTCACAGTTTTACATACCCTGCAATAATTTCCACATGGTGCACAATGCACAATGTCTTGGGAAATGTTTATCATACTGTAGGTACTGGGGCATTCGCCTGTGGTATTGGGGCAGACACATTTACTCATTTAACTTTATTTCAGTCTTCTGATGGAGTTAGTTGGTGTAATGATTTCAGTGATTGGTGTACAGCCTGTTTTATTTTAATTTTAACTTATTATGTATCATTGTTTCATGTTAGAATTCTACACACTGTTAGACCCCTCTCACTCTACAGTTTTACAAGTGTTTAATTTTATCTTATTTAATACCAGGTTTAATGAAGAATGTTTTAGTTGACTTTTATTTGGGCTCAAATTGCCATAGACACATGCCTATAATCCTGCTCACCCAATATGCCTATTTTGACATGTGGTACGAAGGGACTCATTGCACCAGTTTGATTCTCATAAGAGAGAAGGAAATAAACATTATGTTACAGTGTTGGTATTTTGGGTGAGACAGGAATTTGAATATTATGTTGATTTTAACAAAGTAGTCGCATTGTTTATTAGTTTCTGCCTACTAAAGTTGTTAAATTAGTTCTGTGCTTCCATTGTTTTTCAGACATTCAAAGGAAATTGATCTTATCCACTGAGCCTAGTGGTTTAGCCATTTAAAAGTGGCTTTTTGCAGCAGCATGGGCTATACATATGTGATTAGTAGCATATTAATCACTGGTTGCAAAGTTCATTGGCAGAAAATGATGGTGACCATATACTAGGCTATTATTTTACGTGAATAAGATATTGAGAGATCAATTTTCAAAGCCGTATTAAATGTTCTCATTTTAACTGATATATATTAGGAACATCGTGCCTTTAATTTGCACAGGAATTAAGATGACACCTGCTGCATGAAGCCTTGATTGTTTTCAGAAACAGCATACCTGATTTTGTAGCTAATAGGTAGATTTAAAATGAAGATCATTCTAGAACTTGGCTGTCCAACTGGTGTTGTGCAAACCACTGTTACTGCTTTTATTTAAGTTCAGTTTTGTGAAAAAAAAAAAAACCCATACAGAATGCCTACTGCAGAGCAGCTGTGGTGTCCACCCAGCCTCCTGTCTGATGTGTACCAGGGGTGTTTGCCCAGTTCCCCAGTGGTAAAGCAGCAGAGACTGCTCACCAAAATCTAGTGCCAAGACTAATAATGTTGAAACTGTACCTCAACCCATCTTCATGGCATGGTGTTCAGTTAAGCAATGGGACATTACCTATGCCTTACTTAATAAATAATATCCAATATATTATGTGTAGGGTGGTATGTGCGATGAAAATGACAGGTTCTAGTTCAGATGATTGAATTTGTTAGCACCTTTGTTACAAGTTCTCTTAATTACATTTAAATACAGGCAATGCAGCGCTATTGCTGCTTTACACAATTTCAGTTCACCATTGCACACCGCACTAGTCATCTCCTGGCAGCAGATCACAACACAGAAACTATAACAATGTCGCTGGATTACACACTCCAAGTATTACACATAAACAAAGTCATCAAATCGCATGTTAATTCTTCACAGGCCTCACAAGCTGACCTCTTATACTTTTCTGTACTTCTGGTTCCAATTTGCTGTTGCATGCTTCTGCCGCTACTATCTCTCTGTCAGCCTAGGAATACTGCTCACTTATATAGCAGAGGGATGGACATCGATCAACAGTAAACACATATCACATGACCCCTACCTACTGTTTCTGTGTGACATGACACACATGTGCAAGCTGACAGACACACAGGAAACACAAGTCACATGACTGCCACCTACTGTTGCTGTGTGACGTCACTGCTTATGCGCCAGCTGCCGGACACACAGAAAACATAGCTTGCTCTACTGTTGTGTGTGCACATCGTGTTTACCCGTCTGTTATGTAGCAATGCTCTAGCCATCCACGTTACAATAGCAGACCTAGAGGGGCTGATTTTTAAGCATCAAAAATTATTTTGAGCTTTATGGATCCAGCTGTTATTCATGTGCTTGTGGTTCATAGATCTCATCATTTTATGGCAAATATTTATATTGGTATATTGGGAATAAATACTTGTTTCATCACGTACAATGCAGCCACTTAGTGGCTTGAAGTTGGATATCCCTGATCTAGAGAGTGGGAATTATAATATTGGCTGTTTCCTTCAACCGTTCAAATACATATTAGTATTAAGAGGATGTTGTTATTTTCAGTATGACATTTTTATCTCTCATTTTTTTTGGCAACATTTCTGTTATCATTTATATAAGGTGTCTTGTGCCATAAATATTTTTTGATAACTGCTAATTGGTAACATTATGTTCATACATACTAATGATTCAGTAATAAGATAAACTGGTGCACAAACTTGCATTAAGGAAACCTTTTGGTTTTTTATTTATTATCACACGTTACATGGTTTGATCGTAAATGATTATCATCAAATGACATACACAAATTGGCCACAAATTTTACAAAGGCATGAGAGTAAAATAACAATACTTGTCCAAAATATAAGAACTCGCCAATGTATTGAGTTACACGTTTACTACTCATTTCATATTCTTTCATACAACTTGGCACTGCACATTCTTATTTTAGTCTTCATTTTCACATATAGCCTGGGTACTTGGTAAACTTTCTGGTGTTTTACTGTTGATGAGTGGCTGAAGTTGGCCAGTGGAATGGAGTGCTGTGTATGTCTTTGAAGAAGGCAAAGACAATAGTGTTGACATATGATGGGCAGTCCAAAAGTTCCCAGAATTCCCCTGCAGACAGAGAATGAGAGATAAGATAGTGCACACATTGTTGTGGTGGGGAGCTCAGCATGCCTGCTTGCAAGTGCAACAGGTCTGGGTATGTTCTGATATGCAGTGTAGTGCCATGTGATATAATAGAATTCAAAGTAAGCAGCAAATATGTGTAAGATTTGAGGCTTTCACGGCGGTGACTATGAAGAAAGCAGTCTTCTGGGCTTTGGCGCCGTGTATATGTGGTGTTAACCGACGTTTCGGAGGAACGTATCGCCCCCATCTTCAGGGTTGAAGAAAAAGTATAGGTAAATCGTTGTCGCTTGCAGATTTACCTATACTTTTTCTTCAACCCTGAAGATGGGGGCGATACGTTCCTCCGAAACGTCGGTTAACACCACATATACACGGCGCCAAAGCCCAGAAGACTGCTTTCTTCAGCAAATATGTGGTTTCATACACTGGAGAATTCTTATATGTTGGACAAGTACTGTTATTTTTTTGTTTTTGTTTTTGCAGAACTAAGTCAGGTCCAATCTAATTTCATTATTATTTTTGTACATTTGTATCCATTTCCAAATTTATGCAAATTTTTGTGTATATATATCTGTGTGTGTGTGTGTGTGTTATTTATTTCACATATACTACTTTCTTAAATGCAACTTATTCTGTAGTCACCCTTCTTCCTCACTACATGTTTTGGCCTTATACAGCCATCAGATGGCTTCTATCTTGCTAAAATTGTTTCACTGTATGTCAGAATTATGTATCGCATGTGAACACAATGTTTCCTAATTAAAATAAATCAACCTTAATTAATATTAACATCCCAGTGTGTTCCTTGCGGTGGTGGTCCAATCGCTTGAAGGCTATTTGCTTGACTATCTCTTGTTTTGTATTATTTGTGCAGTGTTCCCTTTAATTGGGAGACATTACATTCATATGCTATACATAATTTTGACATGCAGTGCAACAGTTTTAACAAGACAGAAGACTCCTTATGATAGTCATATAAGGCTTAAACAGTTAGTGAGGAAGAAGGGTGAGTAGAGAATAAGTTGCATTTAAAATGGAAATACATGATGTGAAATAAATGATGTATTAATGCAACAGGATGCTTAAATACAGTATACGAGTAATATATTGTAACGTGTTGACGTTACAGATCCCACTTCTGACACCAATGTAACGTGTTTACGTTACAGAAGACGCCGTAGAGATCGTTAACTGGTTTATTGAACAATCTACAACTATCGGCTACACTTAATTATCACAATATCACGGGTTTCCACACTTTACAAACCCTACAACAAATCTCTTAACACTGTCTTCACTTGTCTTCACGTACTAATAACGCGGGAGCTATACAAGTCTCCCTGAAATACACACTCTGAGTATAGCTGTACTACAGCAATCACTATGTCTGGAGAGCACACAATAAGTCTTCCGCTCGCTGACTTCTTAGTTGTCGCACACTCGCAGGCTGCTATGTTTCAACTTGTAGTCGGCTGACTGTTACTTTACAACTCGGCGGATGTCACAGTACAACTGTGTTAGGCGGCTGCTACAGTAGAACTCTCTGGTAGCCACATTAGAACTGACTGGTACCAGCTGTGCACCTCACTTATATAGCTGACGTGCTTGCCGGTTGCGTAATGAGTGCCACGTCATCCTATTACGTCACCGCTGTTGATTCGCCTTGCATAGTTACCCGGTTACGGGGCTCGGCTATCTTCGGCTCCGCTCGNNATATATATATATATATAATATGTGTACATCACATGATGATGACAGTTTATGATTGAAACATACGGTGTGTAGTATGAAATATAAATTAAAGTCTTCGAAATGTAATGCTGTGTAACTGTTTGTTTTATGACTTATAGGGAAACATAAAGAGGTTGCAGTTTTATTAAATGAGAGTACTGAATAATGTTTTTAAGGCAGGAACATTACTCATTTCCTCACTAATATTTATTGTGCATTTTAATTTTGAAAAATGCATTGTATTTTATAACAATGGAAAATCTGATCTGTATTACAAATAATAATTTGTCATGCCATCAGATTGTGAAACTATTTGTATAAAATATCTGCCATTTTTGCATCACATGAATATGCAAATGGTATATGGTACATACATATGGAAATAGCTGATTATGTTAATTAACAGTGCCACATATTCCCTGTCTTCTTATACTGTATGTAGTGTGTCTCTTCCCTCTGTATCCCTTCTCTTTTGGTCATTCCTTCTCGCCCAATGTCCTGTAAATTATCTAGTCTTGTTCTGTCTTGTCTGAAGCTTTTCTTGGGGTTCTGCTTTTCTCCTTACGTTTGCATTAATTTATGCACCTTTCATCTACAGATCCTTTTACTGCCTAATCCTCTCTTTTCCGGGTATTCCTGTCAGATCTCCCTGTGAAATAATTTAATCCACAGTGCCATGATAACGATTTATATAGATTGAGAAGTGTCACTTTTTATGTCGAAAAGTAGTGTTATGTCCATAGTGTGTATTGCTTATATCAGTTTTTGTGCTCTTTTGTTTCTCATAGTGTAATTTATCGATTATGATAGGATTGTGTAATTATACTTATGTGTATTGACTGGAAACTTGAAAATAGTTTGGTACATAAAAGGAAAATAACATAAACAGTAGGTCATCTCTGCTCTATAAAATGCTGTGATTCCACGTGACTTTGTTCTCTTTAGTCTACATGATTTTATTCACCTTATATTATTTCCCTATGGAATGGGTATTGACAGCAATATTAACATTATATAATAACGTATAAAACAGCCTGCATGAGTTTTTAATTAATTTTATTTGTCCATATTTTGTTTCGATGGATAATTATGTTACTCATCCTAGAGAGGATTCAGCAGAAATGTAATGCATTTAGCAAGTGTCAGAGTAACTGGATGTTAAATTATGTGTTAATGATCATGGTGCCCCTGGAGGAGAGGTCAATATTGTGGGAGGTCATAGTACTCGCATTGGTTATTATAAGCAGAAAGATGTATGTACATGTGTCCTATTCTGAACAGTTTTCAAGATAGAGCTATGGAAGTTATTCTTGCATAAAGGAACATTAAGATGCACTCAGACAAGTAACATGCCATGCCCTTGCACAAGTTGCATAGTGCACTGATGTTGATGGTGGAATTTTAAAAAATGTGTTACACTAGGTAAACTGTACTAACTTTGTCACCCTAACAATAAATACCGGTATTAGAAACAGTACGTAATGTCTCAGCAGTTCTGTATAACTGTACAGTGAAATAGCTCTGTCTTGGAAGTCACCGGCTTCCTACTGCAGCGGCCCGGGTTCGATCCCGGGTCCAGTCAAGTGGCGCTGGGGCAGGTTTTCTCCGAGTACTTTGGTTTCCCCTGCCAATCTTCATTCCACCAATTGCTCCATAATCTCTTTCTCGCCCAACATCTGAGGCTGGTACAATAGGCCAGAAATGGCTGCAATACGAAGTGGACTCAGTCCCACCCCACCTAGTAAAAAAAAGTAAGTGTGGAGTTGCATTAGAAATGAACTGCCATCACTGTCAAATCGTGCCATTGAGTAAATCATTCACACTTGTTTTTAATAATGGCTTGTAAGGTAAAGGTAAAATGCAAAACTATCCCTGTAACAGACCGTGAAGGCCCATAGGGATGTGAGATGTCAAGGCTTCCACATTTTGTAGACAGTCAGCTCACAGAGGTGGTGAGACTATCAACCTTATGTGCCAGCTGCCCTTTACCCCCCAGGAAGATTCCTGGTACTCATTTCTGTTAGAGTCTGGGTTGATCCCAGGGCCATAGTGTGGCTGGAAGAGTTAGGTAAATTGAGTAAAATCCAGTGACCTCATTGGGAATTGAACCCATGACCTTCTGGCTTGTAGCATAGTGCCTCAACCAACTATGCTACTGCATCCTGCCTAATAATGGCTTGTATTTGGATAAAATTAACTTGGGTATTTTACATTACAGTAAATCCTTTTACAGTGCAAATTTGCTTATACATGCTTCTGCAGTGTGAATAATTATTTACAAATGTGTAAAATTTAAATATACACTTTCTGACCCCAGCCACTCTAATTCAGTCATCCTGATATTGATGCAGTTTTTTAGTTTCTAACACTGCAGTGTTTCTGAAACTTACGGAGCAAGGCGTTATGAAGATATCTAAATATATTATAGTCAAAATTTCTAAAGTTGTATAATCTAAACTATAAACTAGGGCCATATATTTGTGTACATGTAAATATTCTGTGTAAGTATGTGGGTGCCAATGGGAGAGTTTATGTACACATGTTCATGTATCCCAGCTTAAACCATAAGGTATTAAGTTTTTCCAGCATAGATTTACCTAACTTGCCATTCTTGGGGAACCTAATTCCCTTTTTAGGGGAGAGTTCGCTGTTTATTACATATCACATATTAAATGTTCTGTTACATAGACCTGATCAAGTTGTTACTGTAATCAAATTAAACTGGAATAAATAAATTAACTTTCAATAAAATATAGGAATTAGTATGTATTCCACTTGATGATTGTTTGTGTTAATAGTATTATTTATTTTGTTGTTTGTTGGTTTTTATGTACAATCTGAATAAACTGAATAAACTCACAGTGTGTGCAAAGAAATGCTCATAGCAGATTTACTGTTTTTAATTTTCCTGCTGTGAAGAATTCATATAATATGCATGCAAAGGAAAGATTATATCATACTACTATGCATATTACACTGTTTTTCACAGTACAAATGTATGAATATTTTATTTATGCTTTTATAATTATTAACTTCCAACAATGTAAATTTTCTGTTTTACTGTGTTCTATACAAAGCACTTGCTGCACCATATGATGTATAAAATATTATGTTATTATGCTAAATAATAGAAAAAAAAGAAGAAAAGATAAATTGAATTTTTAATTTTTTAACCTTTAACATTCAACCAAGTTATAATGTTTTACATGTTAAGACTAATATCTCAAATATATTGAAATGGGTATTGTAATGAAATTCATATTAATGGTTACTAAATATGGATCCACATTAAATACACAGAAATACAATTCAACAACAAATAGTACACTTCATGAAAAACTGCCTGTTGATGATCCAGCTGAATTGAAACATGAGGCAAATGTACATAATAAAATGAATGTTAATACAATAACATGGGTTATTTATTATGAATCTGTTGTGTTGATGGTTGTATAATAATGCACAACAGGATACAAACAATAAAGATAAATCAAAACCTTATTCATGAGGAAGCTAAAGTTTTGGTAATGCTTACTACCATTCCATCAAGAACCTGTTATATTCTTGCCTGCTGTCTAAAAACATAAAGATTAGAATATACAAAACTATAATTTGCCTTTTGTTTTGTATGTGTGTGAAATTTTGTCTCTGACATTAAGGAAAGAACGCAGGCTGAGGGTGTATGGAAACAGATTGTTGAGGAGGCTGGAGAAAATTGCATAATGAGAACGAGAAAGGAGAGCTAGATGGGCAGGACATGCAGCATGTTTGAGAACAAAGGGGAATGCATACAGGGTCTTGGCTGGAAGGAGAGAAACCACTAGGAAGACTAGACATATATGGGAGGATAATAATGTCACGAGAAGGGTGACTCTCAATTGGCTATATTGTCCACTTTAACACATAACTTGTAATTATACTTAATTATAGTGTCATCACTGATTTCTGCACTTTACAGTTCGCTAGAGCACACTGTCTTTTCCAGCCTGCAGTGTCTTCAATAGTAGCTGCCTGGTAATGGCTCCATCAGTGGCTGTTCCCCTGCTTATGTTCTCAAGTCATCTTTGAATGGTAGCTCGCTTCCAACTGCCTGCCTTCCTTACAACTGACTTGCATACCTTTCACACCAATCTCCTAGTCTTCTCTTCACTGCCTGACTATTAACTGAGCACTCTTGCAACTAACTGGTTGCCCCAAACCATCCCAGTTAAGGTTGAGGTTGTGCATAAGCTTATGAGCAAATTATTGGTCCAGGTATTTTGCTTGGTCAAGGAAGAACCTGCAATCTTAGATGAAAATGATGCTGACAGTGTGCAAAGGTTAAAGGTGTTGAAATGTGTTTTAGCGGCCATGCAGTGTTACATGGAAGTTTTAAAAGAAAATGCCATTGCTTGCCTTCTTTGAGAAAAAGGAAAGCATTAAAATACCTGAACCTCACCCCTCTTCCTCAGGCATCTCTAAAGCCAAATACTTTCTCTTAAGTGTGGGAACATCTTTACTTGTTACTTCTCTACCATCATCACCTACTGGGGTCATGTAACAGAGATGACCCCCTTCCCCAGTATCCACCATCACCAGCAAGCCATCTCAGGCAACACTGAACCTAGTGCTAGCAAGTCGTTTCATTAAAAATTTGTTACAGTCCTCTGAAATATTGGTTCACACAAAATCTACATGACGCCACGTCTAAGAAGACGGCATTCTTCATAATCACCTCCGTGAAAACCTCAAATCTTACAAAGATTAGGTAGATTAAGTAGTTGTATTATGTGCCTTCCTTATCCTTTTCATTCCTGTATTCAGAGCTGTAAAAATGTTAATATTGTACCATACATGTTGTCAAATGATTGTACTGAATTACCTGTTATGGATCAAATCTTTCAATTTCTGTCTGCCTCTTTACAAAGTTACTGAACAGATATAAGCAAACTCTGTGGGTTTAGTCTGCAAGCGAACTATACTGACCGAGTGACCGCCGCTTATCGGTGAAGTTAGTGCCAACTTTAGTGGTTAGAGGGTATTGTGTGGTCAGTGCAACGAATCTCCACAGCCATTAATTTCGGTTTTCAAGACCTGAGCCGCTATTTCATTGAAATAGCTCCTTGATTATCCTCATGAGGCTGAGTGGACCCTGTTCCAGACCCATTACTTCTCAGAAAATCTGGTAGTGCCAGGAATCGGACCTGGACCTCTGGATCTGTACCCAGAGACACTGACCCTGCTACTGACAGCCATAGACACACATCAAAACTAGGGAACAGGCTGCCCTGCTTAAGATTTTCCATTACTTTCCTCAGTCCTACAAGCATATGTGTAGATAATGCAATGCAATACATAATGGCCACTTCCTCCTCATCTGTTCCTGTTCACAGTACACTGTCATCCTTCTGTCAGAATAAAATGTTCTGCTAATACAGTATTAGCCATATTAAATATCCTCTAGACCAACTTCAGACAAACGGTAGAAACATTAAAAATCCTATACTGCTTACCACTGGATTTGTCTGTTCTTCCAATTGCAAATGGCCGTCATTTTAAAGCTGCAAACATGTGGGATATATTTTCGACTAAACACAGAACGCCAACTTTACCTACCATCGGTGTAGGCTGCCTTGAAGCTCAGTTCCCAAACTCTTTGCCACCATCTGCCTGCAATATTCACTCAGAAAGGAAAGTCTTTGTCATTAGGTTAACTCCTGATCACATGACCCGCATACAATTACAGAAGTTATTAAGAGATGAGAACAACCTTGAACTGTGAAATTTTTACTCTTGATGAAACAAAGAGGAATTAATTAACATATATATATTGAATGAATCAGGGTACATGACATTGTGAATTACTGTTCTGCTTTCAAAGTAGAGATCAATATAAAAGTGAGTTTCCATGTTCAGTTCATCATCCATTGATGGTGTACCAGAGTTCACTGTTTTATAAAGCATCCTCCATTCTCCATCCTTCAGTAATCGCTCTTGTATTTGTATACACTGCTTCACTGCACTGTTTTATATGTTTCATGCTATTTCTCCCTGCTTGTATCTTGGTCTTTGCAAAGGTTTATTCAACATCTTTATTTTTGGTGCCCTCAAAACAAACCTTGCCATCAATATGTAACACATGTATGTACCATTGGTTTCAGCATTTTTTTTATGTTTAGTTATATGAAGAAACTGCTTAAAAATAAAACATCACTGTTCAGCAACATCATAGTGTTACTTTTTTATTGTTTTCAGGCATCATCAAGCGTACTTAGAGATCAATGGTGAGGATAATCCTGGATCTTTAGATGATCTCCTATCAGAACCTATTATTGCATAACTGTAGACTATGCAGAAATATGTGCAGTTTGTGTGTCATTCTAAAATGATGGATATCAATGTTTAATTCCTGATGGTGAAGTATATATGTGTGTGTTTGTGTGAAAACCTTTGAAAAGAGAAGACTTCAGAAGTACTGATGTGCAATAAGGAGGAGTTTCACGATGTAATGGGGAATCAAAACAAACTTTTGTGATGAGTGTATGTTTCTGATTTTAAGAAAAGTCATATTAATGATGGGAGTTCATAACAGACACATTTTTCATATGTTTTACTATAAAGATTGAATTAGGTACCTATAATAATACTATATATATAAGTTGACGTTTTTTCTGTCAAACACACAAACACCAAATAACTCCCTCACATTCGACTGCACATTTACAGAGGTTATTGGTCATACAGCGTCGCAACATGTTGCGGTTCATGCACATTGTGCAACCATTAAACTCAGTTATGGACAGTAGAATGTGAGTGAGTTATTTGATGTTTGTAGAGTTTGACAGAAAAAATGAAAACTCATATTTATAGTACTAAGGCACAACAGGATACATTCCTTAAAAATTATAAGTAATACTTTTGTATGAACAAGTTTAAGCATTATGCGGATATAGTGACTTTTCTGGCTTTGGCTTATATTCATCCTGTATTTGCTTTGAAGTCAAACTTGATGAACATTATTGTTCGGTTGCATGTTGCACAGTAATTCAGTTGTCAGTTGCAAAAGAACAATGGTGCATTATACTGTAGTTCTAGCCATTTTATACGTGTTTAACGTTATTTCCAAGCTTCAAGTTCTCATGTAAAAAAAAAAAAGAAAGATTGATCTAGTCAGTTGCTGTCAGGGAATAGGACTTTCAGAGTGATGGTATGAATGTCCAGATCATTTTGGCAAAAATATTTTCCATTAGACATGTAGAAAACTATATATTTGAAAGAATGATAAAGTTGTTGTAACAAACTGAACAAATAAGTGGTCCACTTGGCCTGCTTTTGGATTTAATCATTACCTCAGAGTCAGTCTCAAATCCGTCAATCTGATAGCACACACGAATTATCAAGCCTATGTTAAGAGTAGTGTTGCACAGTAACAATGGCAAAATCATATAAGTTTATGGGTAATATTGTCCTGCATTTTAAGCTTTCTTAGCACAAAATGCTTAAAATAAACATATAATTGCAACCTGTGTCTGTTCATCCAGCTTTGATCTCCATGGCTACTGAACACAGTTTATTAAATTTGATGCTGTATCTGGATTAAGTAGTAGGATTGTATTTTAGCGTCATATTGTGTATAGAATATTTTATTCATTTTCAGTCTCACATTGTAATTATTTGTTTTCTATACTAGTATTACATTACACAAACACACACAGTGAACACACGACATCAAGCTACCAACAAGACCAGCACGTAAAAAGTTAAAACACTTAGATGTGCAACATGAGAATACAGGTACTTTAAGAGAACGTGGATCTGCCATGCTCAGCAAGGAAACAGTCATTACACAGGAACCAAGACTACATATCTAAATGAAACAAAATAAAATAAAAATAATAACAGAATTGTAATAACAACAAAAATGGTTTAATTTTAACTAATTCAAATTATGCTATTTTAATCTGATTAAAACCAAGGTGTCTATATAAAACAATTTTAATGTATTCGTGAGACTGAAACTTAATAAAATATATCTATATAAAAATGTTTGTAGCAATTTCAGTTTTGGTTTGCTTCATTCAGAATTAAGCTGAACATTTCATGGAGCTCAAATTAAATTTTATCAATTTTTGCAGAAATGACTAATCATAGAGAAATTTGAATACCAAATAAATATGTACCTCATCAAGAACCAAAGCCTTTTTTTAAGATTATTATCCTAAGAATATTTAATGAAGTAAAATGACAAGTCATTTGTTAGTTAAATTAGTGTCAGTATTTTTTAATTAGAGCATATTTATTTGCGGTGTGATGGAACTGATTGTTAGCATTAATTATGTTTTTGAGGAGAGGACGTAGTTATTGGAATTTAGTTAAGTTCTATTGAAAAGCCAATTTGTTTTAGTATACAAGAAAAATTCAGTGTAGACTGAAATATTACACTATATGAATTCTGATAGGTACAGCAAGCAAAGGTAAATAACCATTCAGATAAATGCGTTTAACCTATTTCTGGGAGATATAAAATGTTCAACTCTGTGGCGACATATTTAATAATAATGTGACCTGATGCCCGAAAGCCAGAACAGTGAAATCAAAAGAGATGTTCATTGCTAGACAACTCTTCAGTGAGCAAACTCCCACGGCAACAAATATGCAAGCAGCAGTCGAATAACTTATGTTGCTATGCAGTGGCACTGTAAACACGATTTAGCAGCAGTAGAGGAAGTGGTGTTTTCTGTGCATCCGGCCTGTTGTTATATAACGAGGATCTCACGCAACTAGAATTAAATTAAGTTCCAAAGTTGGCTGTTGCAGCATAGTATTGGGTGGAATTGAAAGAGTCGAAGGTGACTGAGAGGAAATAGCAAGAAAGGAATTGGACTGTGCAAAGAAGACTTAATGTGTGATTTGAAGTGACAGTGAGACTGGTATAATTACTGTGTGGAAATCGGTTGCCAGGAAACGACTAGTGATGACTGAGAACCCTAGTGCGTGTGGATCAGTGATAGCGTTGTAATTACGTGTAATCCGGAGTTGAATGTATAAGGTCTCAATAAATTCAATCGTTCAATCCAAAACCAACCTATTAGTCACCATGTGACTTCTCGTGATTTTGTATGACCTCTGCTTGTCGTCTGCACAATTTTGTTATATAATCGTATACATACTGGCATATTTTCAGAGCCGTTCCCTAGCAACAGCTGTCTGCTGGCTTCACAGTTGTCTTGAGCAAATATGTCACAATATGTGTAGTCTACATCAGAATTCGCATTTCTGCTCATGTTAGTTTCAAGATATGTGTTCCTGCTTCCTGTACATTCCATGTAATTAGCAGTTTCCATTCATGATGTTATACTTCACTGTGTTGGATGCAGAACCGTACGAGATGCTACCGGAAAGTTCCACGACTAGGTCAGAAAAGAAAAGAAATGGTGGCTTAAATTACTCAATTTTGGCTGCCACCTCCTTCGAAATAGTCTCCTTGGGAACGTATGGTGCAATTACATCGTTCTTTCTGGGCTTTAAAAGCACCGTGGAAGTCATTTTCCTTAATGCTGTCGAGTACTGCTTGCGATTCCCTTTGAATATTGGATACTGTTTCTAAAGATCCCTTCAGTTTCATTTTCAATTTGGGAAACCAAGTCATCCAACTCCAGGGCTTCTCCAATGTAGAGGATCGTTTTGCCACAAGACTCTACCTTTGCAGACAGCCTGCATGTCCCTGTAATTTAGAGTTCATCAGTGGTAAAAGTGATGTTGACACATCTTTGGGTTGCCAGAGGGCCAATTTTGGAGTAATACCAAGGGAAGGGCATGACAGTGAACAGTGTCCGTTATAATGAAATCCTTCGGGTCCAGTTGAAACCAACTATTCAAACCAAAGGCTAAGGACTGTTGTCGAAATGTGCCGCAACATTGCACTGTAATGCTCGTCCACACTGCCGCTCACAGCTCTGACAGCCAACGACAACTGATCTTTGAGGTGTTAGGCATCTCCGTGAAGTCCTGAACTGGATCCTTCTGAGTACCACCTATTTGATCCACTTAAACACGCTTTGAGTCCCGCTTTTTCGTCAGTAACCAAAAAGTGAAAGAGCTGTTGCATGCATGGCTTGGCAATCAACGAAAAGCCTTTTTATTTTCCTGAGGGCATACAGAAGCTTGTGGGCCGCTAGACTATACATAAAATGACGCTATTAGGCGTACTCATTTTAATTTTATTAGTAAATAATGAATTTCGGATACCTTTCTGAATTACCCTCTTACTTTGTGTATTATAAGGAGGCATTTTGGAATTCAACAGTTTCTTCCTTGGAGTAGCTATTCGAATCGTGAGAACACAGTATAACCGACTGACGAAAGTAGTCATACGTGCATGAAACAGAGCACCCTAACTGGATCACAAAATTCCGAGAAATTAAATTTCTTGATGTAAAGCAAAACTAAAGAGCAACTCATGTAAACGTTAGCTTATAAATATCTGTGATGACACAGATGATGCAATTAACAGCGGTTCAGTACTTTCCAGGAAGTAGGTACTTGATTTTTTAAGGAACTCCAAAATTACTAAGATAGCAAGGGATAAATCCCGTCACATACACTGGCTTTTACTCTAAAGGAATAAATTCATCTACAGTATCAGGGTTTCAAAATTAATAATTGATATGAGCGATGTTCAGTGTTTGGGTCCCTGGAAGTCTAATAGTATTTATTATTATTATTATTATTATTATAGGGGGTGGGTTTCCCCATGCACTTAGACCAGTTATTGGTCCATTGTGCGTCCCCCTTTATTTTCTACTGTCGCCATACCCTACCGGTACTGGTGCGTTCTATCAGCCCCGTTCAGCCAACGAGGTCGGCCCTCGGTACCTGATATTTCCCCCATCTACCAGAGGCATTGGAAACTACTTGGGCGGGAAATGTATTGCCTAATTTTGCTCAGAGGTCTCCCAGAGACATGAGGATCTTTTACGTGCCGTAAATCTACGACACGGGACCCACGGCTTAAAGTCCCTGCCGGAGGATTTGTTCCCTGAATTTTTCCGCCCTTAAAAATTCCACGACCTCCGCCGGGTTTGAACCCGCGTTACCCCTAGACTACGGAGGCCGCTTAAGTATTATAGTAAGTCGCCTTACAAATTTGACTGATCTACCGCTGCAACCGCTGCAACCACCATCGTCGTGGAGATCGGTATATGGCGCCACTTGTAAGGTGTGGTTTCATATACGTATGTTGGTGATCTATGTTTGCATAAATCAAGGTTTATTCGTTTTCCGGAAGTTCCGGAATCGGTTTGTAAACAGGAGAACGTGTGTACATGTATTAAGCGTGGTGTGGGAAGAGTTTGCTTGGTGCAGTGATTATTATCACACAATGCTGCCTGCACGGTTATTAAAATGGTAGATAATGTCAGCGCAGAATAGAGTATAGATCCTCCATAGCAAGACATCTTTCGAACTCACAGTATTCCTTGCTTAAGTGTGATTATATTATTTTGATTTTGTTAGGTTATGTGGTGTCAGATTGACTTAGAAGAAACCAAACATATTCTGAACTTTTTTTTTCCACATGGTTATTGTTTGATGTCTTTCAACTAAGATAGACCGAATCTGCTGAAAATATATGAGTCATTCGAGTTTATTGTACTATTCCAGGATGAAATTGACACTTCCATTTGAACTTCACAAAAAAGAGAGGGGAATGAATGTCATGTGCAAGAACAGTTTCTGGTAGATCAGTGGAATGATAGAAATTCAAAATCTGAGAATTGACACAAGGAATATAGATCTCTGAAATACCATATATGAATAAAACCTATCCATTTATTCAGACACTAGTGAAAGTCACATCCATACATGCAGAGAGATAGCATTGGAAACACCATGTTTTAACATTCAGGTGTGCTGAGAACATGTAAATCTGTCACAATTTCAAGTTTGATTTTTTCACCATCACAATACTTCCTCATTTGTTCTAAGTATATGAGAAAATAAAAAGATCTCAGACTCACTATAATCACTATTACTTGGGATGGTAAATCTGTAAGATAGAAAGTGATCCTCTCACTCCGTATGAAATGTATTTCACAAATAAATAAGTAGTGTGTGCTTTCCACTGGCATTGATCCATGCAAGATCATCATCTTCTCTTCTTCATCCTCCTCCTCTGCTTCTTTTTCTTCTAATTGTCTGTCTGTTGTTTTTTGTTTGAGAGTAACTGCAAACTTTTCTGTCAAATGTAAAGGAAGGCCTTGTAGACTATATCTAGGAGCCTAAAGCCACACTTCTGTTGTAGAATCAACTGCTTTTCCTATTTGTGTTCTGCTTCTGTTCCCACTTCAAGTTTTGTTACAATTAATTTGTCTTTTTTTCAAACACCATTTTATATACATTTTATATTTTGGGAGCTTGCATCTTGCCACTGTCCTCATTTCTGACAGAAGTAATTGCACAAGATATATCATCTTCATCCCATTGCGGGCAATTACTATTCTTAAATTCCTTTTTTGATTTATCTGAATGAATGTAGGCCATGCAAAAATATCTGCATATATTATCACAGACACTTGCGAAAAGGAACCATGAGGTAACAATGTAGCTGTAGCTGCGGTACTTCAAAATTGTGGTGCAGCTAGTGATGGGACTAGTGACCAAGATCATTTCAGTTGTGTGGTAACAGCTCCATTTGAATCAATGGTTCATTAACATATACCATAAAAAGTGTCATCCCAGATGCTCAAGGAAATGGATCCTAACAGTTGTTTAGTAAAGCTGTTTTAGTTGTTGAAATTATACATCAGTGATTGTAATAGTTGAGCTGTTAATGCTCATTAATATTCAGAAGGTTCTGGGTTTCAAGTGCTGCCCAGAGAATGACTCTCCTGGCCAAGGTTTTTGGTGGTAGTCACGTATACATTTTGTATGAAACAGTCTTCTTTATGTAATGGTCCATGATAATGGTATGGATTTTGAGGTTATGTTTTCAGAGTAGAGTTTACCAGATCAGATACTACATGTAACAAATAAGAACAATTTGTTTCTGAATTACTTTTCTTCAATACAAATTTAAGAATTATGTTGGTAAATAGTGGAATTACTTCAGAGAATTCTGGAGCAGAAGAGTAATAAGTAAATGGTGATTGAATTTTAAAGATATACTGAATTTTTCCCTTATTAGTTGGCAGCTGCTGTTATGGGAACCAGTCCAGTTTGCTGCAGGCTCCTTAGTTCGTCAGCCCTTCAGATGTTTGAACAGCAAGACTGCTAGCATAACCAAAGTGCATCGTAAAATGTATACTCGGATGTACCCAACTGCAGTTATATTACCAGATGGTTCAAGCATCACCATTCGTTATCACGAACCAAGGAGCATCATTAAGGTATATTAATTTGACATTAACTCAGAATGTTTGTTGTGGTTTAATCTGCTTTCCAAAATACCAGAGCATTATTCTCTTAAAGTAGAAGATGCAAGTATTTGCACAGTGGTGAAAGGGGTGATACCTTCAAAAAAGGAAATAATACCAATGTGTGGGATATGGGTTCTAGTGTTTGGAGAGACAGACACATAAATTCCTGATGAATGCCAGTGAAGCTGTGGCTGCATTGGGCTGGCCTGTGTGAGTTACAGTAGTCCTTCCAATGTCAGTACCTGGGTGATTGCAAGTCGGCCATAGAGCAGTAAGCACTGGCAGAGGACTTGCAAAAATGGTCGAGGGGACTACTTTCAGAGTCAATTGGCTGCATTGCTGCTAGGAGGGTCGCTTTTGCTGTGTGCACTCCAGATGCTATCATGAAGCAAGAGTAGCTCTGACTAGCTCACTAGCATGATGTGGCATGCATCTTTATCTGCTTTTGCTAGCAGTGCCAGGCCCAATGGGCATTGGCACTACCATGGTTTGTACTGATTGGCTAGTGCTTGCTTCATGCTGCCAGTCAACTAGAAGTTGGCTGTTGGTCTGGAGATGTGTTGAGATAAGATGCCACAAATGTTTCAGAGATCAATGAAAATTACCCTCATTTCATCCATTGTTATTTCATGATTGTTCGACTAGTAATCTGTCAAGTTGCACAGAAGACTGTATTACGTCAAGTGGATAATTGTAATTAGCATTTTTTTCTAGTCTGCTTTTTGTAAAAAAAAAAAGGCTCTATTCCGCCCTAAAAAGATACATGAAACAGTTTTGTTTTGTGTAGTTTTGAAACATGCTGTCATATTCAGGATTTACCATCAAATACGAATATTTGAAAATGAAGGAGGAAGGAAAATATTTAGAGATAAGAAAGATGAACTAGGTGGACAGTAGAAGAAATGCTTAAGAAGTATGTAGTATTAGGAGGCGTTGCAGATATACAGAGAAGCATTAAACCTTAGTATTAGATAAAGGGTTGTAAATAGAATGCAGGTAAAGTCACTCTCACCAAGGCTTTGCCTAGCAATGGGTATACACATAAGAATATCAACTTTACCTCTCTTGGGGCATGAACATTCTGAACAATGATATGACACCAGTGACCTCTTAAAGTCTACGATTCTCTTATATGCAAAAAACCTTGTACCTAATTCATGATTTTAATTTCCCTTTCCATGGAAAAATGTATATTCGCCTGCTGGTTCAGTGCAACCTCCGTCCCATCTGACCTCCTGTACTCCCACTAAATCTACCTTATATTCTGCGATTTCTTTCACGACTGCCGTAAGCAAGCCTGACCTGTACAGACTTTCTACATTCTGTGTGCCAACTCTCATATCCATTTTCCAAAATTGTAATTTTTTCAAAAAGGGCTCTAGTGATTTTGATTATTCTTCCGTAATTATAGTGATCATCTCCCTAATTAAAGCTGCATAGGTGGTATTTAAGAAATTAACAATACCTGTACTAGGGGCCCAAATGTGAAATTCCAGTTTTGTTGAAACTGGTTTTGTCTGTCGGATGAGTTTCATCATTGGTCGGTATTAATAACAAACAGTGGTTTACTGAGCAGCCATCAATTTCTTTTATGTTGTAATGTAGTCGAGGTTAACTGTGTATGAGAAATCATCAGACTTTGGCTGAGTTTTTAACTTTCATTTCATGCAGTACTTTACACCAAATTCCACACAAATGCTCGCTCACTCACTCTTATCTCTTACTCTTCACTGTCCCTCCTCCTCCTTGATTTCTGCCCAGCCCTCTGTCCATAGGTTTTCATTAATTCATTTCTGTGGAAGTCAGAGGATAAGCTACATATAAAATACCTTATGTGCCAGATCTGACATCTGAAGGCAGAAGTAATGTACTACACTTGGTCTGTCACATACAAGCGTTTGATGCGTGAACTGTCCTTAGAACTGTTCATTTCCAGTTTGTTTATTTTCCTCTGCTTCTCTGTCTCTGGAACTGTAATGTGCTCTTTAACATATCTTTATAAGATAAATTATGTATGAGCTAAGTAGACTTTGTTCATAAGCTTATGTACTCAGCTAGTGCTGATTTCATTATTTTCTGCGGGAAAAGATGATATTTCAATTTAAATTGACTTATGAATGGGGCTTCAGAATGTAACCCAGTCATAACAAGGATCATGTGTGCTCACAGAAAATAAAAGCACTGACTGTTAGTGATATTCATTTCCTGTTTGCAGTTACCACTTGACCTCTCAACTGTAAGTGAAGCAGAACGAATGGCAAGATTACAACGAAGGAAACCAAAGAAGAAGGTGCAAATAGTAGAAGATATTGAAGATAGTTTTGATCCCAGACAATATGTGCGCTTGCTAAAGAAATGAAGAGGTGACTACGAATGTTTTTGAGCTGTTGATGTAATGTAGAATTAATAAATAAAATTAATGTTAATGAATGTTCATATGATTTGCATGGCCACATAAGTGACACTTCATACTGAACTTTGCAGTTGAGTGGTTAGCACTCCTATTCTTGGACCTGTCCTTGAATCAGGGTTTGCATTGTCAGTTACACTGTTACACCATCAATGGACAGTTACTAGATTCTGTTTTCAACATATTTCCTGTATTCATACACTGGTGGGAAACTCATACCTGCTGGGTTAATATTCTCCTTGCCAGAAATAAGACAGAGTCTGCAAGAACCAGGTACAGGTGAGTAGGGTGGCTGAAGAAGTACAGTTGTGTTCGTGTTGGTCAAAAAGTCATGAATCAGTAGCGATGCATGAGCTGGTGCATTGTCATGATGGAGGAACCAGGAATTGTTTCTCCACATCCGAGGTCTTTTTCTCCTGACATTTTCTCTTAGACATTTGAGCACTTCGAGATAATACTAGTGATTCACTGTTCGTCCCTGACGTAAGTAGTCATGATGCACAACACCCTCAATGTAGAAAGAATTGTCAACATGACTTCCATGTTAGACCTCACCTGCTGCACCTTTTCTGGTCTCAGTGAATTTCTTCCAACCCATTGTGAACTCTGCGTTTTTGTTTCCACATCGTATCCATAAACCCATGTTTCATCACTGGTTATAATTTTTTCACAAACTTTTCATCCTCGCTAGCATGATCCAAAAGTTCCTGACAGATGGCAATGTGACTCTCTCTCTCTGGTTCTGTGTCAGATGTTGTGGGACAAACTTTCAAACTATCCGATGCATTTCTAATGTTGTCATAAGAATGTCATGACATGATCCCATCCCCTTCTGCTATTTCCCCCACTGTCAAATGAGGATTAGAGTGCACAATTTTACGAACTTGGTGCAATATGAGCGTCATCACCATGACTTTGAGGACTGTCCCCAATGTGGATCATGTGTTGACTGGCGACCCTCCTGAAATCGCTTTAACCATTCATAACGTGTGTGGCTCATGCGCTGGTCACCACAAACGTTTTTCATCAGTTCACTAGTCCGTAGTTTGAAGCAAAATTTAATCTTAATACATTGCTCGTGAATATCAGCCATCTTGAATATCACAAGACACATTCTACCTGCACGTAAACAAATAGCTCTAGGGGGATGACTCATCACAGCAGGATGATGTGACAAAAAGGACGATAATTAGGAAGCACAGCAGTAGGTAACACAACTTGCATGATATTGATAAGACATCAAGTTTGCGCACTATTTCAAAAGTTCTGAAATTTTTTGAACAGACCACATATGTAGCGTGCCTGGTGTGGCAGAATGTGACGGCTGTTATTTTTAGTTGATTTTATGTAAAGTAATTCCTTCCATATGAAATCAAAGAGGAAATTGTAGGCTGTAAGTTCATATATGTGCTGTCACACTGTCATTTCCCACAGCATTTTTATTACATTATAAATCTTCGAAAAAGTTTCTTGCTTCACCAGTTGTTACATTACATTACTGGAAGAACCCGTTTTCACCCTGGGGAACACTTATGAGCTAAATGTAGTACATCAGTAAGACTCAAAATAGAGATAAACTTTGTGGTTTTCTTCACGTTGATTGAAACCAAAGGTTTTGTTTGGGATTTGGAAGCATTGTTTCGTGATTCAGACAGTGCTGCTTTCACTCAGATGTTTGTAACCATGAGAAATGGTGTATAGATTTTACAACATCAGCGTGACAAACAATTTTGAGTAACAAGGAATGTGATAGAACTGCCATATAGGAAAGTACAGTTCTATGCAGTGGCTCCTTGGTTTACAATGGTTTGAAATATCATCATCATCATCATCATCATCATCACTGGCACGGCAGCCCTTTGTGAGCCCTGGCCTTCCTCAGGATTGTTCGCCATGGTTTGAAATATGCCAATTTGAATATTCACAGGGTTGAAAATTTATAGTAATTCCCTTGTTCTCCTCCAAAATTCCAGATGATTCTATACCATGCATCCACTACTAAGAAAGGTTCCTGTGCGGCACTACTGGGCATGTATTCATGGCAACATAATTTTTGGGTATACATTGTATATGTTCATTCTCAACTGGATAACTGTCAAAGGATATTTGATGTCTTACAATATTCTGATGGTCTCCAACAATATCAATGCTGCCTGGGGAAAGGTTACATTGACTTCTATGACTAAAGTGAGGCCTGAGTGTGTACATGATTTCAAAGGATTTGAGGAAGTGCCAAAGGTTGCAAATTAAGTTGCCACAATTGCTCAAGAGGTGGGCTTGACAACATTGCATCTGATTATGCGACTGAATTGTTGTAAAGCCATTCGCAGCCTCTTACAATTGAGAAACTGGAAGGTTTGGCTGCACAACTGACTCAGAAACAGCAGTAGCAAGAACATAAAGAGCTTCTTTTATGGCCTATAGAAACCCATGACCTGCAGGAAATTCTTGCTGGGATTGATAGATAACTTCAGAAGTTAGGTGACGTTGATCGTGACTGGGGAGGGAGCTGTTCTATTGGAAGAGGAGTGGGTGCAGTGCTGCAGCCTTACTACCATGTTCTGCAGGAGAGAAGGCATGAAGCAAGGCCAACAACCCCCTTTCTTAGTTTAAAAAGAAATCCGAAGAGCCTCTATTTGATCCAAAGATGGCAGAAGGTAATCCACTCGACCCTGACAATCCACAGCCAGGGCATTCCTCTCGTCAGTAAAGGCTACATATTTGTATTTTATTACAGAATAAATATGATATAAATCCATCCATATAATGTGAATGTTTCAAATACCGGTATATAAATATTTTGTAATATTTTATGAAAGAGAGCCTCAGTTTTTGTTTATCTGGAATGTATCCAATTGAAATATAATTAATCTTTTATTTATGCTGATTTGATATATGCTGGCAGCTCATCACTTGAAGATGACATTATTCAAGACTATGTTTGGGAACTTGAAGAATATGCATTAGGGACGGTGGGAGAATAGTAAGTCTTCACTTGTTCAAGGGATCATGTTTCAAGTCTTGAAAGATTTCATTCGCATGCCCAATATCTGAGATTGTGTTACTTTACCTGAACAGTACTTCAACAGTGATATGAGGATCTGTAACTTGTATCTGGCCCTGTATAGTCAGCTCAAGTCTTTGTTCCCAATATCATATTGAGCACATTAGCTGCTAGGTGTGTGAAGTAAGTATTATAAGTAATTTAGCCTAATTTTAAATCCCACTTGTAAATAAACTAATTATAATCATTTATAAACATTTGAATAAATTCAGGCACATTGCTGTACCACATAGTTGTTAGAGGCCAAGATTCTATATTCATGACATTGTAATGGTTTTGTGTGTGTGTTGATAATGACCAATCACATTGTAATAGTAGTTTCTGCATGTATTGATATGTCCTTCTGAAGATGGTCGCTCCAACTGAAACATGTCAAGGATGAAGATTAAAAAGGAGAGAAAACATTTATCAGTCACACTTAATGGAGTTGATAATCCTTTATACAACACCTCATTCATAAATGAAATGAAGTAGAAAGAGATATCTAAAGCAGTTTTTGGTCAAGGTATGGAGCATGGCAGCAGTTCATCATATGCCACAATAAAACATGATGTGACCATCTCATCTGAAGTTTAGATCATAATATGGCATCACAATTGTTACTGTTCCATTTAATTCCTGTTTTCATTGAAGTATCAGTGGCATCATGATCACAGCCCCTTGAAAAGTATGTGATTTCCTTTAACAAATCATGTTAGCATTTTTATAAAATCGGGTATGTAAACTAAAAGTGGGTCACTTGAGCACGCAATGATAAAAAGTGACATGCTATTGCTGGAGACTGGAAGAGGCAGAAAAATATTTCTACAGTAGAGACCACCTGTACTGGAACCTGTTTTGTAGACATGATTTTCTCTGTGACCAGACTAACATCAAAAGTGATGTTTAATTTATATTTAATAGATAAAATGCAGACATAACATACCTGAAAATCAAATACAAAATTGAATATACCTGCTATGGAATATGTATTTGTTTGAGAGTGATAAAATGAAGAAAAAAGAAAATGTATTTTGTTATTACTAATAAATCTATAGATGTCTGTCTGTAAACAGTATAACTCAAAACATTACTCCAGCAAGAGAAGCATAATTAAAGGTAGCTGTATAACAAAGCTGGACCAGAGAAGCATATATACAATGCCATAAATACAGAGTGATCTATTTGAGTATGGACAAAGCAGAAGCATTTTTGTAACAGCAACTGTTCTCTTCCATGACTCAATATTTGGCATGTTTAGCCTACAAAGATGCAAAATATGATTAGGCTCATATGGGTTCGGTGTGCCCCCTATCCCTCCCCCCTCTCCGGCATACACGGCACAGTCGAGAAAAAATGTTCATATCCTTGGTGATGTTTTCTAGTAGTTTAAAACTGTCTCTGTATTGAGATCATCAGTGACCATGTTCACCAATTGTAATGGTCTTAATGAGCCCCTACACAAAATAACTGGAGAGCATTACTTCTTGCCTTTGGAGGCCAGGCAGTCCATTGTTCCTATGTTGGCTGTGAAATGTTTTGTCCTCCTAATCAGAGATCTCTAATGACCAGTATGACAGTGTTTTATTGTGTCAGTAAAGGTCATGTTCATGTTTTCCTTTTCCATTCCTCACGTAAGAAACATATCCAGGTATGGGCTAAAGCGTCGTTTGACGTCAGCTACGTACTGCGTGTGTGCTTCATCCCTCAGCTACATAATGTTCCAAGTTTCATGGACAAGACAACTTCATTTTCAGGATGTTTTATTTTTATGCATACCCAAATGGATTGTTGTGTGGTGTATACATCGTACAGCAGCAAAATATTTCCCAAACACATCTGATGGGAAATGCTATACTGCTTGTAGAAAAGGGATCGTTGAACTTCATGGGAAATTGAAAATATTAATACAGAAATTGTTTAGGTTACACTCTTCTCCAAGTATAATTAGAATGATCAAGTCAAGGATGATGAGGT